TCCTGATATCATACATAACAGCTGTAAACAAGACTGATGGAGTGAAATCACAAGGGACACATCAGCTATTGTCTGAGTGTACATTAAAGGGTACGTGATATAGCCTTCACCGTTTAGGGAACCAGAACAAAAATACACTAAAGGCTGTTTAAGGCTGAAGTGTATCATCAGTCTCTATGTGCTGTAAAAAAGACTCCTCTTAATACTGGCTTTGCTTTTTTACTGAGCCTGACAGCACCCGCCATCTGCTCCCTGGACGTGTGAACTGTATGCCTGCTGAGGTTTGTTTTTTTTATTGTCCCTGTGACAATGCAGTTAACCCCTCCCCCTTTTTGGTCAGGTATTCACCTTGTTTTCCCTCTGACTTGTAGACACTTTCATTTTCTGTAGCTGCTCACTTCTCCTTCTTCGAGGTAGACGCTTACCGCTGATGTGTTCGCACACTTACAAAGTCCTCAAAATGTTCCGGCCTGCCCGCTGGCTCCTCCGTCTACCCCGGCGTTGACTCAGCGTTTGGACTCAAGGAACCTTGAGTCAAGGTTAACGGTAAAACAACATCACTCCTTCATCACTGTTTTTTGTTTTTACCTCTTACAAAAAGGTGAGGCAGAGGGTTCGAACTTCGGACCCATACCGCTGAAGTGAGTCAGCATGAAGCTGCTGTGTGACTAATATAAATCGACTGTTGAACTGAACTGACACAAAACAGACGAGCAGGCCTGACTCCAGGATGTTGTGGACCAAGAAACGATGGAGTTTACACTGCAGACGTCAACGCCGCACATTAAAGGAAGTCTAGCCGGGAAGTTGTTCAAGCTAACGCCGGCTTTACCGGAATTACTGAGAGATGAACATCCGTTCTAAGAGGCATTTATCGTCTATCAGAAGGTTACAGACGATGATAGCTAACAGGGCTCAAAGATTGGAATTTTATGCCACACAAACGTTAAATGACCTCGTCATGTCAGCGTGCATCTTTCTGGCAGGATGATGGCAGAAATCATCTCACAAGCTTCCAAGACTTTTATACTAAACATGTATAAAATCATTGTGTTGTTTGTTCTCTTTTTCACTGTCACTGTAAAGGACACAACTAAAGCTCCACCTGGCTCCATCTCAGCGTGACTGCTCATTACTTAATGGGAAAGAAACTTAAAGCAGCAGCCCGGGGGGTAGGAAAGCTTGCTAATCTGTATAACTCACAGTGATAAGCTCCTGAGGCGGGGGGGTGGGGTGCAGGGAGAGCGATGCTAGCAGGGCTAGCGGTGACCAGGCTTGGCTCAGACTGTCTGAGAAGGGCTGTATTAGGTGTGTTACTGTGAGAAAGCTGAACGCCCCGAAATAACCCTCCTGCATGCACCTTCACCTACATCCCACTCCGCTCCAAACACAGCAATTTTAAGGATTCACAACATGAGAAAGATTTCACCTTTTAGGATTCAGCTTATGTAAGCCTGTGTGCGGTGACGTATTTTCTTTTTTTTTTCCCGGAGTATGACAACACAAATCCTCCACACACTGTTGAAAAGAGGCAAGCATTCCTTTTCATGGTTAGAGGCAGAAAGTACAGCCGCTATTTTTACCACGTTCCTAACCCACACACGCAGCCTCCCTTTCCAAGTCGCAAGCTCTTGTGACTTGTGGAGAAGCTGCATGCACGGTCTGCTGTTTGTCTTCGTGCTCTGAATTTGACGGGTAAGCAGGATCTGAACGTTTACGCTGCCTTCTGGGCGGTCTGCGGGAATAGTGGCCCCCCAACTCAATGAACAGAAGAGGATTCTGCAGGGCCATGGAGATATGATGAACACTATCCAGAACGTCTGAGCCAGAGAACATCTTGTCCCAGTCCTTATGAGATAACAAACACTAATTCACTGAGTCTGTTCAGTAGTACGACTGCAAGAGGGCACTCCATAAAAAGCCACACACAAAAACCTTTATTTTGAAAATCTCTCAGGCCACAATGAATGAGACACCTAAAAATAAAGACCAATCCTCAGGATAAATCTTCACAGTCTGATAGCTTGTTTCAGAGTTTAGATCACAGTGATATAATTAGCCGTCTTGTTTTTCCCACGCTCTGGAGAACACTGTGGCGGGCTGTCAGTCATCAACTGTACTCACTCTGTGGTCACACATTTACTCACGGAAAGGTGTACATTCAGTGTTTGAACAGTTGTGTGCTTGCACAGCAATTCAGGCGGGTGTTTGGACCAATCGGGCACATGTATGCAAAACAAGTCCAATCACATGTTTTTTTTATGCAAATCGTGTCCAACCTCAGCCGTTGAGAAACATTAAAGTAAACTACTTACACCACATACAGAATGACGACACGCATTTCTCTGTCTTCTCTCTTCCTCTCTGCCTGGCTGCTTAACAGCTTGTTGTCACATTTCTCAGCTAATGCCTAGTTTTCAGCAGCAGAGGGTTTTATAGCCACAGCAACATCCAGGCTACTGCCTGGAGGGAGATGGGAGTGCGAGGGGAAGGCCCATCGGCAGGCAGTCAAAGACCTCTCCAAAGCTGCCGAAAAGGGGATTCAGTGGCTCTGTTTAAAAGAGAAGGGACTCCACCTGGTCCCTCAGGTGAGCAGATGGCATGTAGGGAGTGAGCTCGGGATGCTGGGATTAGCTGCTGAACCCTCTGGAGGTGTCGTGGGCCTTCCAGTGTTAACACTGAGGAAGGAGGGAGCCCAAATGACCACACACAGGATGCCATCTCTCACCTGAGTATCCCAAAAAGAGTCTTTGCAGAGTGTCTCAATCTATTCAAAAATCTTTCCAAGAATCTGACTTCTTTTAACCTCATGGACGAGAGTCATTTTACCCATATGAGATTAGATTTGAATTTTGTGGAAGGTTACACCATGCGGCCCCGGATTAAGCTTTATCATTTCTAAAAATGGATCCAGAAGAACACAAAGTCCTAACTCTGTTACAGCTGCATTCATGGTTTCTAACAGCTGAGCACCAAACACTCGGGGACGATGCTACAACGAGGTATAAACACATCAAATCTCTTCCTATCACCGATGTCTTGTGAGACCATCTCCTACACACCAGTGTTTTTGTCATTCCCTGAAAAACACATTTGTTTCACTCATCCTGAACTTCGGTGGCTTTCTACTTATATTGTAAAAAAAACTTCAAATGTTTAGTCACTTCCCCCAAGACCCACTTGACCAATGAGCTAGCCAGAAGTTATGCTATATAGCAGTCAGAGGTAGAGACAGTCAATCAAGAATGTAACCGTTAATCTGTAAACAAAGACGTTAACTTGGATAGCAGTTCATCCGTTTGTAATCAACTGAAGTTAAAGTTAACCAGTTTGTTTAACAACAAAAACATCTGATTTTAGCAATGTGAATAGTTTCAACTTCTTCAAAGGTCACGATGACTTAGGGAAATTTAAAATGACACACGTATCTGTATTGAACATCTATTATCAATAGAACCACTATCTTCACTCTGGAAGTCACTTCAGGTATGTCAAAAAGCATTTCACAATAAAGTGTCCAGGCCAGAGACGGGCATGAGGGCTTGTTATTTAAGAATAAGAAGTAAACAAGGAGGTATGCTCTTGGTGGAAGTGAATTCAGGGAACAAAAAAAGGAAGTTAATTTAAGGAACAAAAATGACGTTAAAGGAAACCATATTAACCAGAAGTTCAAAATCTCAGTAATTGTTTTGTTTTTTCCAAAATTAGGCCAAAGATAATGAATGATTAAGAGATAAGCAGACTTGTCCCCAGCTCTGCTCGCAGTCAAGGTCCCCATGATGTACATCATTCACACCAATGAAGCCCGTCCCCGGTTTCCTTTTGTTAAAGAACATCTAAATATACAAAAATCAAATAGCAACCTGCTGCCAGTTACTACATTGGTATTGAAAAGCTCTTGAGAAACAGATGCCCGATTGTGATTTGTTTTCCAGGATGTCAAACTCAAAAGTCCAACATTAAGTCTCCTTTGAGCTCTGTTTTGGTCTCCACCATCTCGTGACAAAGATATCTGGCTCTTTGCGTGCTGCCTGCTATGCTGCAACTGGTGCTTTGCAGCTCGTTAATGAAGGGTTTATTTGAGACTTTAAGTTGATAAAAACAGATTTCAGTTGTTTGGGGAAAAAAAAAGGTTTGATGAAGCTGAGATTGAACCAAACGGTTACGTAGTCGGCTGTAAAACAAAAATAAGAAGCTTATGAGGCTCTTAAACCAACCAACCAAAGGCTGATGGAAAACTGCACAATGGTTCTCTGTGGATTCATATTTTTATACGACTCCTTAAACTCGACTCCCTCAATGGTAATATATCAGCTGGAAGTATCAGAAAGAATTCATTACACTGATAACAAAAAGACAGTAGAGATAGGCCTGCATTAGAAATGAGATCGTAGAGTCTCTCTCTCTCTCTCTCTCTGTGTTTCTCTGCAGAGCATGGGATTGTTTGAAGATCCTTCTCATGAGAGCAGAACAGACAGGTACTGGGTGGGGGGGGTGGTGGGGGGGCAGAGCTCGGGGGAGAATGTCCACTAATGAATCTCAGATGTTATTGTTCTCGACACATGAATTCAAAGAAACACAAGAATGACACATTTCCCATCAGGCCTTGCTGAGATATCACATTCACGAGCACAGGACAGATGTGAGGTCACAGTGACCTTGACCTTTGACCACTAAAACCTGACCAGTTCTTCCTCAAGTCCAAGTGGAAATTTTGAACTATAGGTTTTTAACATCTTTAACCGTTAACTTGTGTTGAGTTGCAAACACTTTAAAATAATCTAAACACATATGTAGCCTCGTCTATTGGTGCTTAAACGGACACTTTCCCTCAGAGCACGTCACACACATTGAGCTTTTTTTCTTCTTCCTGTAACAGCATGTTGACCCCACGAGCTATGGCCTCCCATCACAGGTACCCCAGGGCGAGTTACAAAGCCCATCAAAAGAAGGAGAGAGAGAGAGAGAGAGAGAGAGAGAGAGAGAGAGAGCAGCCTCACCTGTCGCAGAGGGGGTTCACCGCGCCGTAGGAGTCACAGGCGCAGGGCAGGCATCCGCTGGTGCCGTTTGTGAAGTATCCCTCCTCGCAGTCGTCACACTGAAGCCCCGTGTAGCCGGACAGACACGAGCACTGACCGGTGCTCTGATCACACTCGTCCGGATCCAGAATCCCCTCACTACCACTGCTGCAGTTACAAAGACTCTCTGGGTGGACGGATGACGAAGCACAGCCAAATGGAGAGGGAGAAAAAAAATAAGAAAACAACGTCATTAGTCAGGGAAATATACGGATATTAAGACTAAGCTGTGAATTGTTTTGTACTGATGTGCTAAGAACAAAAAGTTCACAAGTTGAAGGACAGAAACTGAAACTGAAATTATTTTTTAAAATGATGCTTCAGGGAATTTCCATTATTGTGATAACTGATTGTTTCAGTCACTTAATAATCTAAAGAGTCAACCGTCCAATGTGTGATCTTAACTTCTCAAATGTGAAGAACTGTTTTCATTGTGTATTAATTATGTAGAGTGTGGATTCCTGCTTGTAAATAATGAGCCGTTTGAAAACATATATGACGTTACACTGACATTCATATATCACAGAAGTTAATGGTAAATGGACTTGAGTTTATATAACTTTATATATAAAGTTATATAACTTTATATATAAAGTTATATAACTTTTCTAGTCTTCAGACTACTCAAAGCACTTTTTACACCGCAGGTCACACCTACACATTCACACACTGATGTCTGATGCTGCTATGTTAGCTATGTATTAGCCATGCAGACACATTCATACACCGCCGACGAAGCAGAAGGGAGCAACTTAGGGGTTAAGTGTCTTGCCCAAGGACACATTGGAGCGACTCTAGCATTGAGCGTCAGCTGCCCCCCTGAATTAACACTTTCTCAGTTCAAGAGGTTTGCAAGATTCAGGTATATTTATCAGCTGCACTAAACACAACACCATCATCACTTTTGGATTTTACCAACAAAAAAAAGGAGAAAAAAAAATATTACGGGGAAACTGAAGATACTCACTACTACCTAAACGTCTTGAATGATGTTTAGGGAGTATGTGCCTGACTGATTTATTCATTAAACACAAACTGTCTCCTTTTTGTTACCTTATTGTTTTTAATTCAGTCAGCTGTCAGTATAGGGGATAATACTTTTTTTTTTTTTTTTTTTTTTTTTTTTACATCCATCGCTCATGTTCTAAACTCACTGAGCTGGTGAAGGATTTTGGGAGCTCGGCCCGAGATGTGCTGAAGAGTGAAACTGATTTTTAGAGGTGAAACGGTTTTTACAATCAAACGATGAACGTTTCAGTCTGAACCAAAAGGAGGACACTGTTGTTTACAGTTGGGCTCCCATTAAAAATGGAACGCTGAAAGCTGAAGTGTCAAAGTAGTCGTTTCCAGTTAGCCTGATTAAGTCCTTTATAAAAAAAAAAAAAGATCACACTGACTTCAGATCTGTTTTATGTAATTTTCCTACAAGACGAATTTACCTCATGAGGATGTATGTTAGTCTACGACCAATATGAGAAACCTGGTAAACTGAGACCTGCTGCAACAAGGGCTCTAGTTCCCTTCAAAACGAGGGCAACCACCCACAGGATACAATGACACACATGTGGATGACCCTGCAGAGCACAGAGTGGCAATCTATTATTCATCTGATCTCAGGTTAGGTGTGGCATGTGACGACTGAACGCCTGACTATACGTCTTCCATTTGGTGCTCGGTGGGCAAACAAAGAAAACAGACAACATGAAGAGATGTGAGATTAAAAGCAGAAAATGTTTCTCAGAGGTGGAATGCACACAGGTTGAGCAATATACCTCAGCAGCCAGCAGTTTGATAAAGAGGGAAAGGACAGCTGAATGTTAATGTATCCCACTCAGATTAATGCTCTTCTTCCACCGTTGCTTCTGGATTTTTATGTAACCAAAGAAAGGCCTGTGGTTATGCAAGCCTGTGGAGTGTACTGTCAGAGCCTTTACTACAGTAAAGGCCACCGAAGAAGAAACGTCGACCCCAATCACGCCTGAGAATGTGTGAGACGCACTGAACGCTTTTCACCTCACACACCGCAGATTCATTGTTAAAAAGCAGGCATCCTCTAGGTGTGTGGGATGGGGTGGGGTGGGGGGGGCGAGGGAGGGCAGGGGGGGATCTGAAAGGCACACAACAGGTTTGATGTAGATTGGACTGGACCCATGCGTAGTGGAGAGAGAAGGGCGAAAAGAGTTCACCTCTTCTCCTATCTGTAAAAGTGGAACGACAGCATGGCTGGTATTCAGACACGTGCAGCGGCAGGCTGTTCAGGACCAGTCATGTCTCACAACTCCTCTCTCTGGCCTGATTCACCTGTCTGTGCTTCCACTGAGAAAACCCCCTGCCCTCTGTGCGGGAACAATTACTGCTCTTTTAATGTTAGCTTAAGCCTCAAACCACCTTACCAGCATTCAGAAAATATCGAAGAAATAGAAACCCTAAGTGTGTGAAAACACCTCCTGTGTGTGTGAAGGGCCCCTACCCTGTCAGAGAATGCATACTGAGAGTTGATGTGAGGCGTTAACCCAGGTGACGCCCTTTGTTGTTGACTTGATACCATCATGTAAGAGGCCTTTAGGCTACAGCAATGACGAGCGCTCATGTTCCTGGATAAGCTTTCATGGTATGCTTCAAGCTTTGGAGTATGACCTCAGACAAGGACACACATTTCATTTAGACTCGGGGGGACCAAATAAAACAGCAATAAATAACACTGACTGATTCACAATGCAGAGCGCTGCCTGTGACAGTAGACACGACGCCATTTTGGCTCCATTCATCGGTAATGAGGAGGATAAGGTCCACATTTTTTGCTGAATTACGATTTTTTTTTTTCTCAGGCAAGTACAGTAAGAATTCTGAGTACATTCAGAACTCGTCTACATTCATCACATTGATGGTACATTGATCTCTCTGACATAATAATCAAAGATAATAGGGTTGACGCCATCTTTACGTTAGTCTTTGAATTGTCCTGTAATGGTGAAAATGGTAACAGCGTCTTCATGCGCTCAGACATTTTCTGACACTCGAGACAAAGAAAAGCAGCAAGCGAAGCGGGGGAAAAAAGGATTTTTGATATTTTTTAAGGAAAATAAAAATAATGACGATTTATGTTGTTGTTTTTTTTTTTTTACTCGTACTCATGTATTAACTTTGTGTTTGTTTATAAAAAAGTCTGAGAATCTGCAGAGAAACATCCAGGTTTCATCACAGGGGGGTTCACCGATACTCGAACATAAAAACAATAATAAAAAAAAAGAAAAGTCTAAAATGTATTCAGAACCAAAGAGAATACATCCCACTACTTAATGCACACGTTAGACTTTAGTTTACCATATGGATTACCATCATAACATTCAGAGCGCTGCATGGTCCTGCTTCTTTCTTCTAAAACAATCATTTTTTTAAATAAAGAGCCGTTTATGAGCACCGCAAAAAAAAAAAAACAGCCAGTTTGATCAGCTTTTCTAATCCCCCTCCTTTCACTGAAGCTAATCCTGACTGTAAGGTAGTACGGGGCATGGGGAACAAAGGGTCAATGTGAAGGGAAAAAAAACATGTGCGGAGCCAATATCCGTCAGAATATTAAATATGATAGTCTCAGTTTTCTCTTCTGGTTTGAGGGCATGACAAAATAACTTCTCTGGAAGGGGAAATGGCCAGATTTTGATAAAATATACAATTTCTGAAAACAAGTGAAGCCATTTTTATCTGGATTCCTCTTTCTCAGAATTTGATTCCAAGTATACGTAGTAAAGAAAGCAAGAATGAATGGGCTCCATGTTCCCATAATAAGGGGAGGGGGGGGGAGACCTCCTCTCATGTGCTTAGAAACCTTCACCCCCAAGCTTTAGCACACCTCCCTAACACATTGAGGACCTGCTCTAGATGGCATCCCTCAGTCTGTGCTGCTGTGTAGAGCTGCATGGAGAACAACACATCCACATGGATACTGGTGTGTGTGTGTGTGTGTGTGTGTGTGTGTGTGTGTGTGTGTGTGTGTGTGTGTGTGTGAGGTGTGTGAGAGGAGGGGCTCCATCGTCATTGCTCATTCATGGCTTGCTTGGCCTGCCTGCCTCTCTGCCTGGCCATTTTGGTTGGATGGCCTTGTTCTGTGCATGCCAAGCAAACAACAATAGAGGGGATGAAGCAGCTATTTTAGCAGCTTCTTGTAATTTCCTGTCACTACCAACATGCCATGCTTTAAACAAAAAGGGATCATGGGCCTGTATGGTCGCTGTGTGCACTGATGGATTGGATAAATTGAATGAACAACAAGAGGATCAACCTCACACCCCCTCAAAGCCCACCCCCCCCCCCCCTTTTTTTTTCCAGCCCCACTGTAACAGTGGCATCCTATAATAAAAGGCCTCTGGAATATAATAAAGGCTACACAGCAAAATAAATCCAGGGCGGATATGTGGTGCATGAATACTGTTTATATTAGACTGGGGGTTTTGTGAATTTAGGATGTATCTAGGGGTATACGGTGCAAACTGAGGGGTCTGCCTCCCATTGTTGCAATCTGGTTTATTCGGTCGCTCTCTGCGTCAAAAACCACCGTGCGACCACCCTGCTCCTTCTAGCAGGCTCTATCAGACAAGGATGCTTTTTTTCCTTTGAACAGCTTAAAAATGATTAATCCCAAAAATTCAACACCAACTGTGTGGGCTAATAATTGGACCAGATATATATATATATATATATATTTTTTTTTTTTACAGCATCATTAACCACAGCTCTCAAATAAACACATTTTCTTAACATTATTCCCCTGCAGCTCTTTAAATTTAAAAAAGCACTCACCTTGACTATTCTCTACTGAGGTGCCAATATTATCTGCAGCCCAGGCATCGTTCGCTGTGCGCTGGGACACCATGGACACCATGGTCTGCAGCGCTTTCTCCGGGGTGAACAGTGGTGTCTGAGCATCCGTGGATCTCTTGCTTGTTAACCTGGAAATCGGCGCTGTTATTTGGTTTTTCGTGGCCGACATTAATCGAGTATCGAGGGCGGTGGTGGTCGTAGTAGTAGCAGCTCTGGCGGTGGTCGGGTCCGGTGTATGGGGGTGGAAGGTGGTTGCAGTTTTAGAAATAGGGCTGGTAGTGGTGGTCGTCGGGCCGGCTGAAACAATAGCAGGCGCCGGTGTGAGTCCTGCTAAAGGCCCGGGAGATGACCTGCTCTCGGGGAGAGGAGGAGGCATGTCGGTGTGGAAGGTCTCCCAGGTGTCGGAGGCTGAGCCGGGCTTCCTGGTGATAGGCGACGCATCGTAGGGGCGGATGCGAGGTGCAGCTTCGGAAAATCCAATATATACATAGAAAATAACAAGCAGAACCGGAGATATGTACATCATTAAGGATGTTAGCCTCATATTCAGTTTCAGCTCTCCATGTAAGCCCCAGTAATGGTCTTCCTCAGACCTTTCCCTGAATAGACGCGTACTCCACCATTGATGTCCCCCGGCGGCGTACGCTGCTGTTTGTTGCCCTATGAACCACAGTCAACACTTCACCTGCTCCGCAACCTACCATGAGCCGCTCGTTGACTGACGTGCGCAACAGCCAATAGGAGAAGGAGCTTCAAAACGCACGCTCCGTCAGCGATTGGACAGTCGCTGAAACACCCATATGGAGACACTGTATTTGTAAATTATTAAACGTCCTCACTCCTCTGAAAATAATCAAAACATAACCGTTTCCATTCATAAAATCAATAGAAATGTATTTTACCTTTTAAATAGGGTCACATGGTTTGATAGCCTACTGTTATAGACTTTCTGTACACCAAGTCCCTGATAGGTTTATTATGGAAAGGCTCGCAGCTCCTTTGTCGTGGGAATTTGATTTATTAAGCTTCAAATACGAATGGCTAGAGTTTGTCCATCGTTTCACATCAGTGTGATCATTTCTGGAATAATTCATGTTTAAAAATATTCTAGATTGAAGGTGTGTTTGAATAGCCTTATAAAACCTTCAGCTGTGAATAGATGTCTGCTATTTATTTTTGCAAGACTCAGCAGAACATTTATATGCTCACAAAACCAGTTCTCCTACGTCAGTACTCAAATCTTTACAGCATTTTAATCATCTATGAATGTATGTCCGTTGGCTACAACATGTTACGACACGTTGCCCCAATGAGCTGCGCTTGTTTTTAAAATCTTTTATTTTGACAGTTTTCACAGGAAGTGGTAGTATTCTTTTTTTGTCTGCCTTGACATTTGAGAGGCTTGTCATGAATGTCTAATCAAAACGCAGTCAGCTGCACTTACAGGGTAAATGTAATAATAAAAGGGTTCATGTTTCTCTCAGTAAAATCTTTCTGACAGGACTTTAAGAGTGAGAATGGAAGTGTTTATAAATATCTATTTCGTTTATTATTACTCTACCGCCCTCAGGTTATGACATTGTGCTACTGCACTTCAGTTTATGTTTTGTTTTTTTTATCGTCGTTGACAGTTTTTTTTTTTATTTATCCAACAAGAAGTTATTTTTATATTTACATTTTTCTTGATTTTAATCCTACTCAATTCTGCATTTATTCTGGGACATCAATGAAGTCTTATCTGCATTATTTCCAGGATGGAGGAGAAGTTACTTAATGTTTACATTAGATAGATAGGCAGGAAGGGAAGGCAGGTAGGCAGGCAGATAGAAAGATGTGCATTATTAATCCCAGGAACATGAAATGCATGGTAGAACAACATAGACACCTTAATTGAAAAAGAACAACCTACTATAGCGTAGATTAAAAAACACTGATAAGAATTTAAGAAAAAAATCTTAGCATCATCTTAAATATAACAACAAGAACCAGTTTAATTTCTGTAGACTAAAAATACCTTTTTGACCCTGTTTGTAAAACTGTATTGTCACTGTTTCACAAAATAACAGGCAATTAACAGTTCCAAAAAGAACAGCGCCACCTTGAGGTTGGGCACATAAAGTACTTACCAATTCTACAGTACCTACATTTATTCACACATAGGTTAGGCTATATACGTTCAATACCCATAATTATTCATAGGTGACCGTGACGCATACACCTGCATTAGCAAACACGGTGGCCGAGTGAATTAGGCTTATCCAGTTAATAGTAGCCTAACTGTTTAGTTTTTGCAGTCATTAACAAAATGTGCAGCTATTGAGGGCATGACAATATAAGAACTATTTGTTTTAAAATTTTAACTTATTATTTGGGGCTATACAGACGGAGTATTTTTTTTATTAAAGCATATTTCGCGATTATCTCTAATGTTATTTTGAAATGTATTTAGTTATGCATCCTAATAAAGTTGAACAGAAACAATAACAGCCAATTTTGTCTTCTAATGTCTTGCCCTAACCCCAGAAATATTTATGTTTTTCATGTTGTTATACATTTGATCTTTGTAGCCTACATATTGTCTTTTTAGTTTAATATTAAAATCAACAGAGTCTGTCATATTCTTTCACTGTAACTTTGCTCAATTTTGCTGCTTCTTTGTTAACACAATGTAAGAAAGAGTAACATCTCTTACTTGCTATTTTTTTGTCTTGATATAACATTTGTTATGAATGGCGCTATACAGAGATTGATTGATTGATTGATTGATTGATTGATTGATTGATTGATAGGCCTATATGATATGATATTGACGGGGGGGGGCTTTGATTGAGGAGGGGCCGCCAGTTGCTCACCCCTTTATTTAACTATTGATCAATTCAGGTTAAGCAGTATGTGTGTGTAGCTGATGGGAGTTCACCTGTCAAGCAACACAACGTATTGGATATACAATCATGACATCAGCTTTAACTCTCGCTCTTGTAACTTAAACTGTCTGAGCAATAAAACACAGCACATCTTTTCTCTGATTTTTTCTTTTCTACACGATTTACGAGTTGAAGTTGATAAACACGCAGCAGAGTTTGGGGGGAGAATGACTTTTCCAAAGTTTTGAAACGAGACCGTCCGAGGGTACGTGAACGCACCACCGTCTGAAGCGTGTTGCAGGAAGTTGCTCATGACGACAGGAGAATAATGGCGCCTCTTGATTTGGATAAATATGCTGAGATCGCAAAGCAGTGTAAATACCTCCCAGAAAATGACCTCAAGGTAACTGTGACTGTAAAGAAGTGTTTGTGTTGTTTCTATTTGTGCGTGTGATAACCTTAGAGCTAGCTCCTAGCTGTTTTAAGTTGTAACGACGTAATTAGCTAACGATAGCCTTGGCTAGCTTGTGATGTTAGCTGTCCTGACCTCATCCTATCATAGCGTTTCTTAAAATGTCAACAACATCTATAAACAAGACAGAATTTATATATAAAATGCGAATGACTCAGGATTGAGACTGGCCTTGTTATGTGATGTTAAAGTGACTGTATAAAAACCACAGAGACAAGATAACAGACTGTTATGATGACAGCTGATTTATGTAAACAATCAGGACTGAAAACGATCTAATGAGATACTTTATAACACGAAATGTAGGATATTTATGAGAATTAGACCGATTTGAAGACACATACATTTATTTCCTGATGTAAACATTGCACATTGACAGAAGAAGCTCAGAGGGTCGTGGACAAGTCTTGACATATTTACTGTTTGAAACACAGTCAGTGCATGATGTGAATGTTTTCTTATGGACAGATTTGTGATAGTTTGATATTTGTCAGTTGCATATGACAGAAACAATATTTTCACCACACTGTGAGTAGCTTGATTCAGGTTGTTTTGGTAGATCCAGGTCGACTCTTCAAGTTTTCAACTCCAAATTAGTATGGATGGCGTTAATTTGACCAATTGCTACTAAATTTGAATATTATTCAAATCATTAAAATGATTCCTTAACTGGAGGGGAGAGTTGTCTTTACACTCTGTTATTGAGCAGCATGCTCTTCACCCACACAGGCCTGAAATACTCACATTCACTAACAGGATCTGTGGACATGCCTTAATGGAGAGATGTCAGAGTGAGGCTGCTACACATGAGTGAGCGCACCGGAGCTGTTGGGGGGGTACGGTGCCTTGCCCATGAGACCCTCAGCAGTAGTCTGGAAGTGACCTGGCACCACTTCAGCAACCAGACCAACTTAGACTGAACAACTGAACTGGCGACCATCCGGTTCCCAAATCCAAGTCCTTACAGACTGAGCCACCAAACCACCCCCCACCAGCCCAGGAGCACTCACTGTGGGCCGCCCCCTCACAGTTTGTTTACATCGCCAGGACGGCCGGCTGGCTCCTCCCCTCGTGTATAAAAGTTGTTTAATTGAGGGACTAGAGAAAAGAAGAATAACATACTGTACTCACTGCTTAACTGTGTTTCTAGATCACGCTCATTTCAGGTAAATTTACATGCAGTGTGAAGATACGAGCATAATAAAGATCACTAGCATTAGCATGCTAACACAACAATGCAGCGCAAGTTGTTTTGGGTTCATGCTGGTGCTCAAGGGCGACATCTGCTGGATCAAAAGAATCGCATATAAAGCCTTTAAGGTTATATTGAAGAGTATTGAATACCAGCTCTAGATTTAGTCTCTGAACCCCTGTGCCTTATGTCTGTTAACAGAGGTTATGTGACTACGTATGTGACCTCCTGCTGGAGGAGTCCAACGTGCAGCCCGTTTCTACTCCTGTAACAGTATGTGGCGACATTCATGGACAGGTAAAAACACTTGTATCACAATCATTTGGTTTGCAGTATGGTGAGAGATCTCTATCAGAATGATTTTAGATTGGTCTGTTATACCCAAATAAATGATACCAACATCCAACACGTGTTTTTATCTGTCTGTGTCTTAGTTCTACGATCTTTGTGAACTCTTCCGAACCGGCGGCCAGGTTCCCGACACAAATTACATATTTATGGTTTGTATATCCAATTAAGTTTGAACTTGATTTTAATGCATACTGTGTGACTGATGTGATTCCACAGTGTTGGTTAATAATCTGTGTCGTCCGTAGGGAGATTTTGTTGATCGAGGATATTACAGTTTGGAGACGTTCACCTATCTGCTGGTGCTGAAAGCCAAATGGCCTGACCGCATTACGCTTCTTCGTGGAAACCATGAGAGCAGACAGATCACACAGGTCTATGGCTTTTATGGTGAGAGCTGATTTAAGCACTATGCTTTAGAGCAGCTGCAAACTGCATTGTCACGAATCTCACTTCCTGCACACTGCACAGTAATCACACCCTGCTGTATGAAATAAAAGAGTGCTTTTTTTTTTGTTTTACAGATGAGTGCCAGACCAAGTATGGGAATGCAAATGCCTGGCGTTATTGCACCAAAGTGTTTGACATGTTAACAGTTGCAGCTGTGAGTATTGTGTGCAGAGTCAATGTGCTTTCTGTAAAGATGCAAGAACATCAATGATTTAACCTGATAAAAGACAGTAATTCAGTTTACTTATTTCTAAAGTTGACACACCTAAAGGCAGGTTTGGTAATCTTCTCCAGATCCATTTTTTTTAAAGATTTTGGTTGAAGTTGTCTTCAGGTCCTGACAAATATTAATAACTCATGTGCTCTGAAAAAGGAACAAAGAAAATCCATCATCTGTATCAGTTTGTAGGAATGTAAAAACTTTGACCAATGTCTGCCACGAGGTACCAATCTGATGAACCAATCAGACGCCTCCCTGTCTCCCTGCTCGCTCTCTACCTGTTGTGTGCACTCGCCCACACTAAAGGGCGTCACCGATGACAGAGTTTATACTGAGAGTTTACTTATCGCTGAATGAGACATGAGACTCTCACCTGTCTGCCTCTGTCTCTCTCTGCCTCCGTTAACGCTATTTGCGTTTGCAAAGAGTCTTAATCATGTTGATATCCGTTAATTATTGATATTGATCTATAATATTTCCTGCAAGTGATTCTTCTCACATCAGGTCAGACTTTTTAATAACACGCTCATGCGCTGAGGTTCCATCTTTTAATTTTCCCCTCCCGACCAAATAATATTACGGGGATATTTATTAAATATGTTAACATGCTGCACCCCTCCGGCCTGCGCGTGAGAGAGAGAGAGACACACAGCGGGAGCGCGCACACACATACAGGCTGAGCAGTGATAGATATGAACTGTATCCACTTGCTGCTTTAAATGATTCTATATATACTTCATTAATCCTGTGGGAAATCACAACTTATCACTTTGTTATTGTGGGACATGCTACACACTCATAGGCCCAAAACACAAACAGGACACCTATAGACATGCATCAATTGACAAATGTCAGAGTGAGAGGGCTGCAGAAGGGATTTGTACCCCGAGCAGTTGGGGGTTTGATGCCTTGAGGGTATCTCAGTATTTAGGATATGAACTGGCACCTCTCCAGTTAGCTATTTAAATCTACGACCAAGAGGTGCCCGACCCAAGTCCCTACAGTCAGAGCTTCTACAGTCCTATACTTCATCTCACATTATCTGTTTGATTTTTTGTTAAAATTTGACTAGATCTTGTTTGGACTCTGCTTCCTGAGATGAATGTGTCCTGCATGGCTTGAAGAGGACAGGACAAACCTTTCAGAGTTCAACCCCAGCCGGTGTTTCTATCTGATTTAGCTTTAACGTTCCCTTTGACACAGAGAATAGGATGTGGTTAATAGTGTTGTTAATCTATCACCATGGAGACAGTATCGCTGTTCTAGCATGAGCTCACTCTTATGTAAGTTTAAATGAAATGAACAGTAAAATATGAGCTCCTGGATCCTTCCATTGGCTGAAGAGGTCACAACCCCTCCTCAGTACTTAAGAGGTCGGACTGATGTCTGTCCTCCTCCCTCTCACTCGTCACCTGCCTCTCCGTCTTCCATCAACAAACTCTGAAAGTCACAGAGAGTTCAGGCAGAGCAGCTGGAGGACATCATGAGAAAAATGATCCAGTTCCCCCATGACCTGTGAATCAGTAACCACCGTGCAGCCATCATAGAAATATGAGAAATCACGAGAGCACTCAGCAGAAATATATATCAACAGTGATCACAGTTTCTTGCTCTCCAACATCGAATAGTTTCTAATGCCATAGGGCTTACATCACATGTATGTAATTACATATTCAGACTGGTTTTTCCTGTTGCAGTATGTTCCTTCAGTACATTTTCCATTAGATCTTAAGGATGAATGAGGTATATAGTATCCGTGCATATCTCTGACCTCATCATTAGGTATCTCACAGTCCTCACTTGCTGCTGTTATGTAACATGTGGTTTATATGGTCACCATGTTCCACCTGTCATACGAGTGTGGTTTCCTAACTCTTGTTGTTTATCTTCTGTCAGCTGATGGATGAGCAGATCCTGTGTGTCCACGGAGGCCTCTCCCCAGACATTAAGACGCTCGACCAAATCCGAACCATTGAACGGAACCAGGAGATCCCCCACAAAGGAGCATTTTGTGATCTGGTGTGGTCAGACCCCGAAGATGTGGACACCTGGGCCATCAGTCCCAGAGGAGCCGGCTGGCTGTTCGGTGCAAAGGTCACAAATGAGGTACAGCGCACTACTGTCATTTAGTCCAGCTCATGCCATTTCACATTTATATTAAAGTCGTACATAAGAATCCACATAATTCACTGAAGCACAGTATTACCATACGCAGTTTCACTGATGACATCACAGCTACATGCCTACATTTCAGGATTTCCAGAATGACCCCAGCAGGTGGCACTCTTTGATAAAGCCTCTATAAACACCCTCAGATACTGTCCACTCAAACCCAGATAGACGTTATAACACGTGTTCAGACAGATTCAGCAGATTCTAAGAGTCCGGAATCTGGCTTTTTATGCCTTTATTTTGAGATAGGACTGTGGACAGAGTCAGAAATCAGGGACACAGTGGGGAATGACATACCGGAAAAGAGCCACAGGTCGGATTTGAACCCAGGCCGCCCACTTGGATGGCCACAGCCTCTGTACATGAGGTGTGTTGGGGTTGTATCAAGTCAACTTTGGTTATATTCTTTAATAATTATACTTAATTATTAATAATATAAATAAAATATCATTAAACTATGTTTAATCTCGTTTTGGGGCACCAACCTGTAATCAGGTAAATATAACCAAAATATCACTCAAATCAGTCTCAAATTAGTTATTTAATTACTAATATTATTAATAATGAATAACTTATATTTAATAAATTGAAGGCGTGAAATCCGTACACAAAGCTTCGCACCCAGCTTATATCACAATGTAAATACACCAGTAACCACAACAACTGCTCTCTAAATTATAACAGAATTTATTTAAACAAAGCAACATCAATCCAAAATCAATGAACTTAATTAAACAAATAACTATATAACTAATCTAAGCAACAAACAGTTATCAGCAAAGGCTTGTGAAGGGGTGTGTGTGTGTGTGTGTGTGTGTGTGTGTGTGTGTGTGGTGTGTGTGTGTGTGTGTGTGTGTGTGAGAGAGAGAGAGAGAGAGAGAGAGAAAGAGGGAAGAAGAAAGGGGGGAGATGGCTTCGTACCCTCGTGGTGTTCACGATGGCGCAAACTAACAAAGACCTGGGTGTGTGCACGTGTGGATGAAAGGGAGAGAGAAGGCAGCGTGTTGACACAGATCTTGATATTTGCATGCAGAGCCACAGAGCCTTCTGACCGCAGCCTCCTATTACAGTACATGACCAGTTCAATGCACCCTTTGGGGTCACAAAAGAACAGAAAAATAATTTGTGTTCTCTTTGAGTGCGTTCATCCCAAACGTTTCTTAAAATATTTGCCTTCTTTCTCTTTTTCTCTGCTTAACTTCTGTCTTCAAAAACATCCTCCAGTTTGTTCACATCAACAACCTGAAGCTGATCTGCAGAGCGCATCAACTCGTGCACGAAGGCTACAAGTTCATGTTTGACGAGAAGCTGGTCACGGTGTGGTCGGCTCCCAACTACTGCTATCGCTGCGGCAACATCGCCTCCATCATGGTCTTCAAAGATGCAAACACAAGAGAGCCAAAGCTGTTCCGAGCAGTGCCTGACTCGGAGAGGGTCATCCCACCCCGAACGACGACACCTTATTTCCTGTAAAACAACAAGGCAGCATTTTTGTTCATTGCACAGACGCCGCTTGCGACAGCAGCATTAGCACTTGTGAACTCATATAAATTTTGTATAGGACATTTAGATTGTTTACAGTGTGTTTATTAGTGCCAACTGTCAATTGTTATTCCCACACTGCAGGTATTAAAGGCTGCAGTTCTGCAGCTTCAATCACAGATTTATTTGCAGCGCAGGAAGTTTGCTCAGCAGTATTGTTGCTGTTACTGAATGTTTGAGAGGAAGGATTGAAATGACATTGAAGTCAGCAGACCCTTAAAAAGTGGTTTGTTATAATGAATCAGAATTCTACCTTACAATTAAGAATCACTGCAGAGAAAAATGAAACCTGCAGTGCTGTATAAAATGTTTCATTTTATTTTGTTATATTGATGTATTACATTTAGGTGTATAATAACAAAGCACTGTGCAAAAACAAGAATCCCACCTGTTCGTACACACTTCAATCGACTTACTGTTATTATGGTATTCCACATGATGAAAACCTGAGAGTTGATGTACAGACACTTACCTTTTTTTCAGTATTGTTAACCCTGTGGTACCTAAAAAAGACTTTCTGTTGTTGCCAGATTTGAACCTTTTCTTGTAATTATTCTGTGTGTGTGTGTGTGTGTGTGTGTGTGTGTCCATACAGTTTTTAAATAAAGAAATACCAAAAGTCTAAATGTTTGTTTGAAAGGATGGTTTTCTTACGTCATTATTATAAATAAGTTAGAATATTTAGTAGTAAAAAAAAAACATGATCATTATCACATTATGGCCGGGAGCTCTCCCCTCTTATCGGAAAGAACCAGTTGAAAAAAAATCCTGCTACTACAGTACATGCTACAAGACAGCTGAGCACCAACCAACAGTCTGAACATTGAGGAAGAGCGACGGTACAGCAGTGCATTCAGAACAGGGAGAAAGTACAGCAGGTGTGGCCATGTGAGCCTCAGAAGTGAAGAAATACACGCACTTACTTTGCATACAAGTACAAGGGGAAATGGGGGCAGCTGTGGCTCAGTTGGTAGAGTGGGTAGAATAGCAACCACTGCCATCAGAGTGAATGTGTAGGTGTGACCTGTAGGCCAAGTCCATACCGACAGCTAAATAAAGCCATTATTACATTTATAATAACGGTCATAAATCTTAATTATTCAGGAGCATTCATGGAGCAAAAGGCATCTTAATTTGAGTTACACCAAAGACAAAGTGAAGCTAAAGTGATTTCATGACTTCATACATCTAGAGCTTCTCTTTATAATGCTTAGTAATAATATATGAACTAATAGAAGAAAAGTGAGGAAAGGGGTAGGGACATATCAGTTTTACTATTTCACATGTTCATTTTGTTATTATCGTTCATACCAGTTGTGCTCTTGTAAGAAAAGCTGTGCAAAATAACAATGAAGGTGTACTTTAACTGAGCTATAGCTAGGCTCCATTACTAGTTTGGTTTACTATAAATAATTTGAAGGAGTTCAGTTTAATCTACTTTGTAAAAAGTACTTTCTTATACATGTGAAACAAAAATGTAAGTATTAAAAACATTTTGCATGAAATTCACATGCTAACAAAAAGTGACCCCCTGTTCACAGGTCATTCATAAACCAAACACGTAATCAAAACATTGTTTCATAGAAAAGTGCAAAAGAAATCAGATTTGTTTTTTTGTACTGAGTCACATCTGCCCTCCAGAAAGAGTCAAGGTTTGGATATTGCACCAGGTGACTTCTAAAATAGCAAACAGCATCTCTAAAAATGTGTTAATAGTGATAAAATGACTGAGAATAATTCACCCCTTATTTATTCAAGATAAGTTTGACAAATGTAGACTTCAAAACACACCATAAAACATTATACATTTTCTCAGGACAGCTGACATTCAACCCTTCCTGAGTTCCCCAGAGGTCTAAACCTGTCCAAAACTAAACATGTCTGTCCTTCACTCGTCAAAAGTACATTTCAGTGGAGGTTGTATTTCTTGTCTTTAACAAATCTGGAATTTGTGTTTCCTGACTCGATGGACAGAAAAAAAAAAGTTTCTTCTATTGCCCCCAACTGTAGTTTCATTAGTTAGTTTACTTCACATCCTGTAATAATAGCCAAATAGAGATGTAACCACTTGAATAAGTTTAATTGAACTGCACTGCCATCAAAAAGATCTTAAATGACATGTAACTGCACAACTGCAAAGCTCTATCTCTGCACCTTTTTGTACATACTGTTTAACACCTCACTGTTATGGCATGTGGAAAGCGGAAAGCACTGTGACTCTGAGGACTAAAGCAGTTTTCATTTTTTAGCTGCGCAGCTCTTTTGTTTTACACTTAAATGTTTCTCTTTTCAGATGATATGCACAGACTCATTGAAGAACTGCAGTCCTTCTTTCCAGACACTGATGTACCTTGCAGCATAAATGCTGCTGTGCTGCTGTAGGTTTACTCTAATTTGTACAGGTGTCATTTGAACTGTTTTAAATCTATTTTGTGTTTTTATATTTCTATATTCTATTAAATATATTTTAGACTATTGCTTTTTTCTATATTATTTTATTCTTTTAAAGTTCCCTGTCAGCAGGAGCACTGCTGTTTATAGCTTCTTACTATTTTTTCTTTAGCCTTTGCTAATTGTTTTTGCACCAAAAAGTCACTTTCCTTGGATGTGTAAATACACTTGGCAATAAAAACCAGTTCTGATTCTGATGTAGTTCAGATGAACATTGCAGACACTCAAGTCATTTTTACATCAAAAAACACATCTATGCTGTACTTTAAGATTTCATATATTTGATATATGTCGACTGTTAAATCTACATATTGAATAATACATAAAAATACATGATGTTAAAAGTCTGCAGGTCAGCTGCTGCTATTGCTCTTCTCGCCTGTAGGTGGCGCATGTTGTCGGCTCGCACTAACACACCGGTCATCCCCTCTCAGTTCTTCTAGCCAATGAGCAGGCACGCTGCCGTGACGTCATCAGTCATCTGTGTTGGGGTGATTACGTGTAGCTCACCAACTAGCAGGAGCTAGCTTGTCAGACGAGAAGACAGTACTCAGCGAAATAATATCGACTGCTACCACAATAACAACAACAACAACAACAACAACAGCTGCTGCTCTGTGCTCAGAGGAAAGGTGAACGTCCTGATGTTGAGCACCTGAAAATGCCACGTCCGATATTTAATCGAAGTTAAGACGGTAAGGGAAACAGACGACTTTAGTGAAGGAGCTAACGACAGCTAGCATCACCCGGCTCATTGTTTTGACTAGAAGAGGTCAAAACATAATGTGACAGTGTGATTGTACATTTCTTAACATTGAAGACACAACAGACTGTAACCTTGTAGCAGTTTGTAAACTAACTTATTCACTCCTTAGCTTCAGAGGGACACACTGCTGCTCTGCCTTTAAATCTAATGTTATGAATGGTGTATTAAACTACTTATGTTTTAGACTTACACAGCTCTAAGAGAAGCATACCGGGATGTCAGTCATTTAGAGGTCTGGATGAGTTAAAGTCCAACAAGCTTTTAGAAGTTTTCATTAGTGATGCACCGATCCGATACATCTTCCGATATTTTGTATTTTTTTCACGACTATTGTTATTATTATTGTTGTTGTTGGTATAAGCTGTAAGGCTTCACAAAGCTGCAGTAAACCTTGCATTGCATTGCATTGTGTTGTATTGTGTTGTATTGTGCTGTCTTCACATACAAACAGGAAGCAGCGACAACTCTCAGGTTTTTCAAAGTAAATCTTATAAACTGAAGTGTAAGAATTTGTTGTTCCATCTCGTCTGAACTTCTTGATGTTGATGATTTGTGGACACTTGTCTTCAACGAGAGAAGATCTTTCTTGTAGATCTGCGCTGTCAGTCTGATATCTGATCCGTAAGTTACGTCTATATCAGACCTGATACCGATATGAGATCAGATCGGTCCCATCTCTAGTTTTCATCAGCTTTGAGCAGCACAGTTTATCATCTAAATGTTGGAGTCATTTGGGAAACATTTAGTCTTTTAGTTACCTACCAGGTTGACTGTTTTATTGATTTAAAGTTTATTTGTATAGGGACCAGTATGGAGCAAGTAAACTGAAGCTACGCACTACAGCATTTATACTTTAAGATAGTTTTCCCGTCCCAAGATGAGCCTTTAAAATACATAAAAATCAACAATCGAAACATCAAAACAGAACCGAACAAGCACAACAATAGAAGACAGAACAGTACAGGATACAAACTAATATACAATAAAACAAAGTGAAACAGAAAGAGCTGATCAACCATGACCACAAGACTGAATCCTCTGAAATGTTTCAGTTCATCTCTTTTTTACAATGCAACTTCCTTTATCCGTCAGTAAGGTATTCCTGAATATGTGTGAGGTTATGTGCTAGAAGGGGTCTAGACCCTCCGCACCTTTAAGAAAAAGATAAAGACTCAGCTCTTTTATGAACACCTACGCACTTAATGATATTGGTTATGAGGATTTTGATGAACACAGCAAGGATGTTTGGGATGGTTTTCGATGCTGATTAGAAATCACAAGAACAGCTGTCCATGTTGTTGTTGATGATGATATATTAACTGTAATATAAAAAAGTGCTCCACACAGCCTGTCAGCACCTGTGTGTCCGATCTGAGTTAAAGCTGTTTGCACTTCCTGACGTTGTTTCCTCCTCTCTAGATCCTTGCTTGTGTTGTACTTACTCTCTGATGTCCGTCACTTTTCTTTTAAAGCGTCTGCCAAATGAATCATAGAATTGTTGCCCCTACAGAATAAACCACCATAAATAATGTGTACTTATCTGCCACTGATGTGTCCAAACATCCTGTGTGTTAAATGATAGATGCAGTTATTGATTATCTTTTGTTGGGCTTATTCTAAAAAAAATGTGACTGCTTGTGTCAGCTTTGCAATTTAACTCTTTAACTCTCTTTTTCTTCTAGATATCACATGATGGAACTACCAGCACAAACGTGTTTTGACGGTTACCGCATAAGGACATGGGTCTGTTCTGACACGTCCTGAAAGCATGGAGCGTTAAACTCAATGCATCGGATGAAGTCACTTTCTCTCCAGAAACTGCAAATTGCACTCATAAAGAGACGCTAAAAGGAAAGACATGTTTGCCAAGTTGAAGAAGAAGATCGCCGAGGAGGCGGCCACAGCACCCAGGAGCGGTGTTCGTATACCACGCACTATCAGCAAGGAGTCCATAACCTCAGTGGGAGCAGACTCAGGGGATGACTTTGTGAGTACTCCTTCAAAATCATCTCCAGTCTTTACACAGAATGAAGTCCAACAGAAATCCAGTATACCTTCTGTAAATATCTCTCTGAGTCAACACTACTCAACAATGAGTGTTCATATCATCACCATCAATCATACATCACGTCAGCTACCCGCCTTATTGTGAATAACGGCGTTCATAAAATCAAAACAGAGGATTTTCAAAAAAAAGTCACCCCCCCATGACCCCACCCCACAAGAGCAGCTTTGATAAGTAATCGATATAAAAAGAAAAAAGCTTGTTCTCAACTCGGGGAACAGTTTCACAACAGCCTGACCAAAATAGAGTTTTAATGATGCTCATTAATTAAAGATAGGGAGGCTAATCTAAAATAGTTCATGAACTGGACTGAAAATAACCCCCTTCTATGCCGATGTGTTTCAAGTTTGCGTCTATACAAACTTTGTAAATGTGCTCAGAAGTTCTTCTGAGAGGGGATGGAGAGAACGTGCTCAGTTTAATTTAACAGTAAACCTCTTAATGTTTGTAAATGCTGTGTAAGTCCACACTATGGTGATCACATACTCGGAGAAACTCTTTGGCAGCTCCTGTTGATGCTGATGGCTTTGCCTCAGCTTCATTTGTAATCCCCTCTGTGGCACATCCCAGTGGGCAGCATCTCTACCAAATGAATAGACGTCAGCAGTGTCACACGTCTCCACTCGCTGAAAGAGTACAGAAGTAAAAATCGCTGCTTGATGATATTTAGAATTGATTACAGTGTTTAAGAGATTGTTTACAAATTATATTTTAATATGAATGGTGCATAAAGAGAGTCAGGGATTTGTATTAATACTCTCCATGAACTCATCAGTATTTTCTAAACAGGTCATTCTGGTTTTAATTTAATGATGTGCATGCTTGGATTGCATTTCAATCTGTTTTGTTTCAGTGTAAATAGCTGTTAAGATAGAGATGGCTATGAGTGAAACCTTTGGCTGGGTCATGAAATAATCATCAGTCAGGCAGCTTTAGCGAACAGGGCTCGTACACTACAAAGTGGGGATGGTGCTGTAGGTGGGTTTGGCCTCTGTGTTGTATAGACTGCATATAGAAAGGATACTGTGTTACAGTCTTTAGATTCCCTAGTGAAACATAACACTCTACTAATTCTCTTGCAAACTTAGTGTGTCATTCTGTTCACCCCTTGGTTGTTGCTGCTCATTTTTATAATGAGTTCTGCACAGCATACAGCGATATTTTTAGTATTTTTATGTCGATCTTTGCCGTATTGTTTCCAACAGAAATGTTTTGTCCTAGCTGTTAAAGCAAATCAATATCTGTGGTAAAGCTCAGTTCAGTGAAGCTAGCCGGGTAGTCCTGGAATCCTTCACAGGGCAGCCAAGCTCCCGAGGCTGTCCTGATGTCTCAGTTGCACTTGGCTAAATTATTTAGTGAAGTTGCTGAACAGCAATACTGCCAGCTGATATGTAACATTGTGATTCTGCTACCATGAGCACTTTGTTTTCCCAGCACCAGATTGGTATAAGCTGTACTTTTTGCCTCCATGTTATATGTTTGTAAATACTCCAGCCTCTGATTAGATAAGAAGATAGAAGATATACTTTATTAATCACATGAGGGGAAATTTAATTTTACAGTTGTTGAGACATGCTACACACAAATGCACAAACAGAATCCTATGAACACACACTAATGGAGAGTTGACAGAGTGAGGGGGCTGTCCACAGCGAGTACTTTTGATTTGAGCTGGTGGGGGGTTCGGTGCCTAGTGAATTGGCACCTCTCCAGCTACTAGACCAATTTCCAGATTTGGTCCAAATCCCTAATCCCTAACCCAATTCAGGAATTGAATTTGCAAGCCTCTGGTTCCCAACTCAAGTCCCTACAGACTGAGCTACTGCCATCCCCGAAAGTCAGAAGTGGGATTTGAACCCACACCTCCAGGGGAGACCGTGACCTGAATGCAGCATCTTAGACCGCTTTTCCATCCTGACTTTATAGTTTATATACTTTCATAGCACAACAGCTATGATGTGTAATTACAGATATTCTTACTGAGATTTAAAACATCAGGAATGTACTTATCTTTCGTCTTGCTTTTCAAGAATATATGAAAAGTGTTTGACTCCTTATCAAATTAGAAAAGTAGACACTACAGTCATGTTTCCTGCAGTATAAAAAAACAAACAACTTCCATTTTTGACTGCAAAAGAGCAGCATTTGGAGGAGATTTCCACTTTGAATTGTGTCCATACTGAATGTGTTTATTATTACTGTGTTTGTGTCATCAGGCATCGGATGGCAGCAGCTCCAGGGACGACCTGCCGGCCCAGCTGATCAGGAGGAACGATCAGATACGGAAGCTGGAGGCCAAACTAACAGGTATGACATGTCAGACTAAGGTGAAGCCAAGAGATAGGATCACACGACCAGAGACATTTAAACACAGGTCTATGGGTGTACACAGGTGTATGTCTGATGGGCCATGGCAGCTTGTTTATCAGATACCATCACAATCATACACTCCAAACAATCACATCAATCATATACTGAATCCTTAATCACAAATGTTATTTATCAACACAGAGATCGTAGCGGTCGCTTGTATACACTCTATTCAGCAGTCACTCCCCCCTCCCATTGGCTCGAGGTGAATTCTCCAGATAATATCCTGCAGCGTCCTCACATCAGCTCAATCGGACTTATTGTGGAAAAAATCCACAGGGTCTGGCAGGAGAAACACTAGGTGAAGTCAGAGCGAAAAATGTGGCTGTTTGCGTTCACTCATACAGGAGTTTCCTGAAAGTGTGAAAACCCGATTGAAGTGTAAAGCAGTTCACATCTCATCAGTCCGTGTCATTGTTACATTTCTGCGTTAAGTGCTCACTCACCAATTCAGTTTAAAGTTTAAACATGATACCGGGTTTTGCCAAGAGATCCAGATGATGATGTAGAGAAAGTCAAGTCTGCTGTGAGGAGCTAAAAATATCATATAATAATATCATCAAATGTTTTAACTCTTAAATAAATGTATCACTTCCTCAAACATCCTAATTTACTTTTCTTTTCCCTCTTGTAAGTTTAAAATCTGAAGCTCTAACTAAGTCTCTGTTTCCTTTTAAAAGCAGGACTTTGATTTCTCTGTGATCCAAACAATGTATAGAAAAGGTGAACGCAGCCATGATGACCCAAAGGGCTGTGCTCAAAAAAAACAATACATGGTCATGTGCTCCTTGCAAAGCTCTGGGATTCAAATATTTGAATGTATTTCTAGGATCTCTGAGGACCGATTGAAGTGTTTTAAATCGTAGGATCCTTAATATGCCTCAACAAGAAAGAACAGCTGTTGTAGTAAATCCTGAGTAGGACATGGTGATTATCCAAAGTCAATGTATATATCACAATATGTATGATATCGTGGGGTTGTGGGAAATACCCAGCCCTAATGACCAATTAGTCTGTAAACTTCCTTTTTAACAATGCTTTTAAATGTGTTTGTTGGAGCAAGACTCGACCATACTTGGACGAGACGGTGTAGCAGAAGAGGGTGAGGATGTACGTGTATGTTGCAAAGTGCAGCACCAAGGATGTAAACCTTTTTAAGAGTTATTTTTTAAGGGTGATTAAAACAGAAATACATTTTTCAGGATACAAAAAGAGAACATTGCCATATGCTGTCTAGATGTATAATCAGAGGGACAACTTCTGAATATATATTAATATTCTTAAAATATTAATAGCTTTCTCTCTTTTTCTCTACTCAGTATCAAACCTTCAGGTGGCGTACGTGACTTTGCAGCCCTTGATCAGGTTTCAGGTGGCTGGTCTTCCTGCAGCCTTCGAACCAGTATGGTTTTCTGAGCAAAGAAAAACCATTGACTAGTTTTACCTTCCATTATTTCTCAATCATGTTTTCCCTTTTGCTTTCTCCCTCTTCTTTGTTCACTTTCTCCCCTGCCTCCCTTTACCATCACCTGTCTGTCTGTCCCTCCTTCCTGTTTGTTTTTCTCTGTGTGTGTGTGTGTGTGTGTGTGTGTGTGTGTGTGTTTTTCTGTGTGTATGTACTGTTGATACCCCCCGTCCTATCGCCCTACTTCCCGACACTAGACTACGCTGACCAGCTACGAATTATGCAGAAGACCAAGGACAAGCTTGAAATTGCATTAGAAAAGCATCAGGATTGTACGTACCTTTACTCTCCTCCCAATTAGCTTCTTCTTCCTCTCATCTGTCTGTCAGCTCTAGTAGCATCATCCGGCGTGCCATTGCTTCCTTCTATCGAGATAATCTCTTACCCTAGTTGCTAATATGATGGGCTTTAGAGCTTAGCTTTGGGGAGCTCTATGCTTTTTACTTTAATCTAAAAATCCACCCTCAGATATTTCACTCAGTTTGTTTCAACCCCCGGCTTATTTGTTGTACAGTTGTGTCTATGTTTTCTGTTGTGTTGTTGGTGTGCTCATTCTCCCTCGATTTGCCCAGCACAACAACCTTTTAGCTGAGAGGGGTGTGCATTTGAAACTCATACCTGTGTATGAAATGTCGTAAATCCACTAGCTGTTGTAGCGTTGCGCACTAGGTTTAGTGCCACACCCTTTATTTGAACAGCAGCACGGCTTACAGCTGTGATGCAGTCTGGACTGTTGGCTGACAGGGGAGAAACTGGTTTATCTGGCTCGTGATGGTTTTGTCAGGCCAATAATCGATATATTATTTGCTTGGCTTGATCTTTAAGGTGACGCACAAGATATGTCGCAATATGAATCCCATTGTCTTTAGGACGAGGCTGTCTCTACACCCTGTGTGTGATTTGAACAAGTATAAAATCCACTGTGGGAATGTGAACAGAATCTGATAGTTATAAACGATGTACAAAGCACTTTAAAGGAGACAAGAGAAGGATGGATGTACTTTGTAGGTTCTGAACATCAAGTGATAGTGTTATAGCAGGTGCATATATTCTATGCATTTGATATGAACAATAAATACATGGTACATTTTACGAGTAGTACAAATAAGCAGCAGTGAGATTCCATTTATATGAAAACACATCAGCTGTAGATCTCTCAGTCTGATAAACTGCTTGAAGGTTCATCCCTCTGAAATGCAGCTGGTGCTCATTGTAAGAACAGAGCGATATTACAGCAGGAGAGTGGAACAGCTTCATCCATCTGAAGTTATGAGTTAACTCATATCCTGGAATTCCATGAATTGAGGCAGTAAATACGTCTCCAATCAGGGGACGACTATATTCTCCAAATATCTACAGATTTTTTGCGGCACAGGTCTTTTGATTGTATCGGCACCATGAGCTTTCCCGAAGGCGCCTGGGAGCAGACTTTAAGGGTTAGGTGAAATCCTCACTATGTTGTTGATTCTGTCATGCACTTTAAAATCACGGCCTTTTATGGACAGGGTAGAAAAAAGTAGTTGAAAGACTTCAGGGTGGATTTTTTTCTTTTATTCACTATGATCCTGCAGCAATGATCGAGCTTTCACAACCTGTAGTTGTTGCCAATCGCCGTGCATCGCTTGTCTTTGCCTCGCTCTACCTTTTGGGATGATCACACTCCTAATTCAGACTCTTAACGTTTCACAGCTACTAACGGCTCAACACTCTCTGCTTGTTAATAGTTCTGTTCTTATTGGATGCATTGAAACCTCTCTGTATGGTTTCCATCTTTCCCCCTTTTTTTCCTTCCCCCTCTCACTTTCACTGCCCAGTGTCCATCAAGAAACTACAAGACCAGAATGAGTCCCACCAAGCTAGCAGGGCCAAATTAACAGAGGGGATGGCTGTAGCACTGGAGAAGAAGGATCAGGTAAAAGACGCTGTGTCTTTTATCCTACATCATGTGTTCACCTTTATAGACTGTGTTCTGATTCATGTCTGTCCTTCATCTACAGGAGTGGATGGAAAAAGTTGCTGCTGTCGAACAGGTTAGTCTTTATATCAGTCTCTGGTGACATTGAATACTTGTCCATCCACATGTTAGGTGTGCCTCTTGAGTTTAATTTGCTCTGTCTGCTGGGGATGTTGAGTGTGGACTAAACAACTAGAATAAAACCATCTTGGGGAAAAAGTTAACCCGCTGGACTCCGCCCACTTAATATCAACAGGACATCTATTCTGTAGACAGCTGGAGTGGTAAAATAAGATAAGATGTACTTACCCTATATCAGTCCATGTCATATCAAATTACAGATAGAGAATAATCAAATGAAAGACAGACAGAGGAGTACAGTTAAATAAAATTACAAATGGAATGAATAATCAAGGCTTGGCAAGCAAAGGTGGAGCAGAAAAGGTCAGAGAAAACATTTTTAGAAAATCGCAATTTTGAAGTTGCTTCAAGATAACGTTGTTATTCTTTTAAGGTCACATATTTTTTTCTTATTTTCAACCAGTTTAAATAAGCCTCAGAGGTCCCCAAAATATGTCTGTTAAGTTTCTTGTTAAAAATCCACTCTGATGGGGTGCTGGTGGCGCAGTGGTTAGTGCGCACGCCCCATGTACGGAGGCTATAGCCCTTCAAGCGGGCAGCGCGGGTTCAAATCTGACCCGTGGCTCCTTTCCCGCATGTCATTCCCCACTCCCTCTCTCTGATTTCCAATTCTATCCACTGTCCTATCTCTACAATAAAAGCACAAAACAGCCCAGAATGGGCTGTTTCTGTGTCTGTACCTTTGAATATGTAAATGAGCTGTGTCTGACCACGCCCCCTCTCTGGAAGGGCTTGGGTGGCTCGGGCTTTCTCGCTCCATGTCCTATTGTTTCCGGTGAGAAGGCTGACTCAGAGGGCAGAACAAATACCTAGCTGTGGGAGTGTCACCCACCTGGGGGAGGGGCTACTGCCCTTTATATTGTCACAAAGGGAAAATCTCCAAACGGCCAGTTTGAGCACACATTTTCTGAAAAGTAGAGCAGGTAAAAGATGGAGAGGATGGACTTTACTCATCATTGGGGGTTTGTAGACAGACCAGGGACATATATTAGTGTAAGAAAAACATGGTAAAGTGCATTTTGCACAATATGTCGCCTTTAAAACAAATGTCACCACTGTGAGCGCCAGGCAAAATTCTGTTGAAGCAGTTATAACAATTTCTGCATTTCTTTCCCCAACACTTTCATTAACAGTCCAGCTTCACAAATTATAGTGAGGTGGAAATAATAGAGTCCATCTGGACAGATATGTAGCAACATATGATTTCCGCTGACATCTGTCTGTGTCTTGTTTCAATCAAGCTCTGGTGCTGTGTGTTTGTGGAGTATAAGAAAAGTCAGGAAACCACATGATTTCATTGTAGACATGTGATGTTAGCGTGAAAGTAATCGGCAGTAATCTCTGCTTTGAGCCACGCTTAGATTTCATTTCTACAAGTTTTGTGTTTGTGTGGTGCCACATGATTGCAGAACTTTTCCATGATATGTTATGGGATGATAGCTCTAGAAATTAGATTCACCTGTTACCTACTACACTGAATTCACCTCCCCCCAAGTCACTCACTTTAACCAATGGAGTAAACTCAATGGTAATTGTTCCTACCTTTACATTTGAAGAAGATATCCTTTATTAATCCCGCAAAGGGAAATTTAATTTTACACTCTGTTGTTGAACATGCTACACACACACAGGCTGAAATACACACACATGCACAAACGGGATCCTATGGACCTGAACTAAAGGAGAGATGTCAGAGTAAGGGGGCCCACAACAAGCACTTCTGATTTGAGCTTGTGGGGGGGGTTCGGAGCCTTGCTCAAGGGCACCTTGGAAGTACTCAGGAAGGGAACTGGCACGTCTCCAGCTACCAGACCAATTTCCAGATATGGTCCACAACGAGACTTGAACTGCCCTCTAGTTCCGAGTACTACCGCCTCCGTTTGCAGTATTCTTTGTTATTATGAACCTTTTTGAGACATAGCAGTAGTTGGTGACACAGAGACAGAAGATGGATGGTGGAGTGTTTTTTGAGTTTCGAGTAGACTAAGGATTTGGCCAAACAAGTGTAAAAAAAGATTGATGACAACAGGCAATAAAAAACAAGTTCAAATGGCACACTATCAGAGTGGACACTGTTTGGATCTCTGTTAGAGTCGAAGATACATACTTTTTGCTCAGGTGCCACCAAAGAGAAAAAGCAGAGCTCTTTAAGATTGCATTTTTAAATACAGCTTCTTGAAACGTGCACACATCCTGTGCATGTGTGCACTGGTTTAATGACACTGTTGTGTTTGTGTAGGAGAAGGCTGCTCTGTCAGCCCGACTAGAAGAGACGATGGAGCAAAGCTTAGCACTCTTCCAGAAAAGAGATGACTTGGATGAACTGGAGGGTTTTCAGCAGCAGGAGCTCGCTAAAGTTAAACACATGGTGCGTACATGTTGGATTTACTGCATTAACTCCACACAGAAATGTAGTTTTCAAACTTCCTTTTTTGCATTTTCCAACTGAACCTCAGTGCAGTATAGGAGATTTGCTTTAAAGGAGATCTATTATCCATCAGTCTGGGACACCTTTAGAGTAGTGTTGCGAGATCAAAAACCTCCTCATTGATCCGATACTGGCCTCAATAAAATCCTTCTTTTCAGCCTCAGCCTGAAACGGTTCATTTCAGCTGCTGTCTCTTTAAGGCCCCCCTCCTCATGTGCCCACTTTCCTCTGATTGTTCAGCTCTGTTTGAAGTCGAAGGGATATTTGAGTGAGCGTCCGGTTGGGCGTGTCCTTGAAAGAGCTGCTGAGGTGGGCATGTTCTACACCTTCAGCAGAGCCTGATGTCAGGTTCTGGCTAAGTCTCATTAAGTTCTTGTAACGTCTCGTTTAGAGCAGCAGGAAACCACGTCCGGGGATTACACCAACAACTGTGTATCTTGGGTTTAAAAAAACTTTGCCGTGGTTTAGTATGGACATCCAACATTATAGCATTATTTGTATGTAAATATGGATCAGCATAATAGATCTCCTTTAAACACTGAATCATTTTTCAGAGCAGTTGCTTTATTGAGATGTGATTTTAGTTCACCTCGGTCCATAGCAGCACTTTAGTGAACACCATTTTCTAAAACTTTAATGTATTTTCTTTTCCCGTTCGTCAGCTGCTAAAGAAGGAGGAGCAGCTGAGCCAGCGGGAGCAGGAGCTCCAACAGAAGGAGGCCGAGGTTCAGTCAGCAAGGCGAGGGCTGTCTGAGGCTCGCGGGAAACTCAGATCTCTGGAGCAGCAGCATGAGGAGAGCAGCAGACTGAACTCTGAGTTTGAAATAGAACGGTAAGAAGTCATGCAACAGAAGGCCACATTTAATATCATGCTCTTTTTTAATAGTCTGCAGAGAAAGCAAAGGTTTGTGGGACTAAATCATTTTGAGTGTCTAAAGCCGTTTTCACATATGCCCCTTTGCTCTGGATATTCTCCTGACCTGACTGTTCACATAAACCCTTTTTACACATATGGAAATCTCCTGAAAAACTCAGGAGATTATTCGGGGGGGCTGTATATGTGAACGCGAACAGCCGACCGTCAGCTGTTTGCATTCACTCATACAGCTCCTCTTGGAAATATCAGGAGTTTTTCAGTAGTTTTCTGCAAGTGTAAAACCCCTATAATGGATTAAGATTCAAACTTTGTGTCAAAACATGTTTGTGTATGTCACTGGATTTTTGTAGAGAGGAGCTGCTGCTGCTCCGAGAGGAGGCAGACAAGAAGGTCAGTGAGCTGGAGGGACGATGCCAGGAGTTACAGTCAGTAATCCAACAGGTCTCTGAAGACTTCCAGAAGGTCAGAGCTCAACAAAAGTTATACAAACTACTCAGTGTGTCTATTCTTCATCACTATTCTTTCAAAAATCATTATTAAAGGTCTGCGATTAAGGGAGTTTACAAAACCTTTGTTTTTCAGTCTCAGAGTATGGTGTCGACTTTAGAGAGGTCCCTCCACGATTTACAGACTGAACACGACGCCCTGAAGTTACAACAACAAAAGGTAATATTTGAAATAATATATAAAGTAATCAACATCATGTCAGAACTCTTTTTGCATCAAATCATGAAGAATGAGAATGTATTCGAAGAAGGGAAATTCTGGGAGTTTTACAATGTTTCTGCAGCAGTCACAAAATACAAGCAGCCCTACAGATGGATGGATGGATGGATGGATGATGGATGATGGATGGATGGATAGATAGATATATGTAACATTGCTGTAAAGCTGTGTCATGTCTTCTCTTGCCGTCATCAGGCTGCTGTCATGGAGGAGGACAAAGAGCGCTTGTTAGCGGACCTTCAGAAGAAAGTGACGTCTCTGGAGAGGCGGCTGCAGGGGAACCTGAGTCAGGATGAACATCTACAGGAGCTTCTGCAGGAGGTGGGCAACAGTCACAGGAGGGCAATGTTCAGAATATCTTCAATTTCATCAGAAAGTATTTAAGCATTAGACTAAAAGATGTTTTAGTTATGTAAGTTCAAACAGTTGTCTATTGGAGCCTTTAAAATCAGTTTCTTTCTCAGGTTGTGTGCAGCTTTACATCCAGTGTAACACATTCTGGTCTGTGCCTGATGTCAAGTTTATTTCATATGACCAGCATAGACTCGATGTGCTTAGAAGTAAAAGAAGAGGACATAAAGGATTAAAACATGAAACAATAAAAATACATGATAAAAAATGCATAAAATGAAACAGCAACACTATAAAAAAGAGTAGGAGAACATATTTAAAGAGAAATCAAATGTCCCTGATAAAGTGCAAAGATATACTCCATATCTTTTATATCTTATCTATGATATCTTTTATGATTCAGGCTAAAGCGTGTGCAAAGACATGTTTAAAGTGTGCTTTAAAAAGAAGACACAGTGGTAGCCGACCTGAGTTCATGTGGTAAAGACTTCCACCGAGTTGGATCATGATAACTGAAAACAATACCTGAGCTGATCTTGAATTCATTTTGGGTAATGGTGAGAAGACGTTAAATATTTGATGTGTGTTCTCGATTGCTCACATGAGGTTTTCTCGATACTTTTGACGAAACCTAGCAACACCACAACCTAAAATGACTTTTATTGACCTTTTTTTTGTCTTAACCTGAAGATTAAAACCTACCGGATACCCTAGACATCCTGCAGATTTTCAAATAACTTTGACTTTTAGTTTTGGTTACGTTGGGGAAGTGATCTTTGTCTGGGCTAAGATGATAACCTACTTCAGCTGTTTTGGTTTCTGAGAGGTTTCTGTTGTCTCTTAAGAGGAGAAGTGGTTTACTAACTTCAGGCAAAATATTCATATTGGCATGTTTCGGGGTGTCAAACTGTCAATCATGTCATTAAAAGCTTTCAATCCTTTTTATTTTTGATCAGTTTCGAGCATTAGTTTGGAAAAAAAAACCTTGAAGCTTTAACAAATAGTGTTAAACATCTGTTTACATGTATTAATTAAAGACAATTTTCAGGAAAGTTATTGAGGGGTCTAACGTTTTATTAATCAGTGCAAATGTTCCTTTTTGTAGAAGTCCAGCGTGGAGCAAAGCCTGGAAGAGACCAGAGCAGAGCTGCTTGCAGTCCGGACAAATCACGCCGATACCGTATCCTCCCTGGAGACTCAGGTAAACTGAAACCCATCGTCTCTGCTACACTACCTGCTCTTACCTACTGTGATATTTCACCAAATCTGCAGACCCCTAATGATAGATTTGATCGCTTCTGTAGTGTAAGTGGACTGATCATTGCTGATGATTCACTTATTTTTGCTGAGGTCACCGAATAATAAATAGTTGATTATGATGCAGTTTTAGGAGAATGAGGAGAGAGCTCCTTTATTTTCAATATTACTGTTGTCATTTCATGTTGGGTCATTGGTCATTTTAATTCCACTCATTTCATACTCACCTTCATACTAGGAAAAGGAAAAGACAAAAGCCTCCTAGGCTTTGTGACCATCGGAGCATTTCCTCCAGATGAAAACATCAGGAGCTCTCCTGAAAACAGTGGAGAACGCTTTAAGGATCTTTTTAGAGCAGCGGTTTCTGAGCTGAGATGCTTTGATACAGAAGCAACTGTACCAAGATTGCTTGAAAAAGTAGATCTCTGTCCTCTGTTTTTTGGACTCTGGTGTGGTTTGTTTGTAGGAAGAACATGAACTGAGCTCAATCCGACCTAACTGCAGGAAGCATTGCCCTTTTTAAAATTGAACCAGCTACTGTAGTGTGGGCCTTCTCTATTCATTATTGCTGAACATGTGTTTAAGACCACAGGCACATGTGACGGATCTTCAGAAACAATTTTGTTAGATGAGCAGGTCATAGTTCAGGAGGATTAACGTGCTCCTTCTCCTTTAAATGTCATTATAAGCGCATTCAATAACTCCAGCACGTGAACATATTATTTTCAAGCTGCAGTTGCGCTTCATATTAAAACCGATGAGTAGAGCGAACATCAGTCATTTTAAAAAAAATGTGAAGTGTCTTTTGAGCAACCACAGCCAGGCAGGAGTCAACTAGTCTTTGTTTACTTCCTGGATTTCCGGGAAAGTGACCAATTAGAGCATTTCCCTCGCACATCACACATTTTGTTTTGCTTGTAAAAGTCCCTGTGTGAACACAGACCAAACTAAATGTTGTTATGCAACGGCGTACCGAATTGGTCCATGATTAAGACCAAAGCAAAAAAAACTATAGGTGGGAAAGCGCCCTAAGAAAACTAAACTGGCCTCAGAGAGAAATGCTCTGGTGGACAGAAATGTTTAAAATGAGTGTTGCCGAATGCTCCTCCAGCTTTGTCTCCTCTTGTTTGTTTTAGGTTTCAAGAATGAGCTGCAGCATCACTGAGCTGCAGACTCTTCTCCGACACAAAGACGACTCCTCCAGAGCCTACAGAGAGCGAACAGACACTCAGGTAAGCAGGAAAACATTCTACCAGCAGATTCACCACCACCAGTTTTATCTTACATACATTATGCTAATGAGTTTGAAGCTTCAGATGCTGGTTTGAAGTCTTCCCTGAAAGAGAACGGTGATAGTTTGTTGGGTGATGTCATCGTCTTAACGTCCACTTCTTGTATAGAGTCTCTGCTCCTCTTTCTTTAAAGTCATGTGATTCATATTTTCAAATGTTTTATCTAAATGTCTTTATTTGACATGTTCAATGAAGTTGATGTTTTACTATAAACAAAGTAAACTTCCCCACTCTACTCTTTGTTTTCATCAAGTAAAAGATCCTATTATCATCAACCTAACAATATATGACCTGCGTATGTTGATGTCTACAGAGTGAAGGTGTACTTACAGTCCATCATCTTATTCTTTTCTGGTGCAGATAGCTGATCTGGAGCAGCAAGTGTCGGAGTGTGGAGAGAGACTGAAGAGCGCAGAGCAGCAGATTACAGAGAAACAGCAGCAGGTGGATAAGATTGTGAGTACCAGCGGTCTCATTTATACAACAGTGTGTACAATTCAGTCCAGTGTAGGTGAACATACATCAAAACCCAGAAATAATTCATGGTGACACTTTAAAATTAACATTACAATATTCACCATTATCTAGTTGCTAATCAGAATGCTAATAAGTAACACACTGGCTGCTTATTAGTCATTTATTAAGTGCTTATAAGTACCTTATTCTACATAACCATAGTCTATAGCTGGTAGGTCATTAACTAAGAGCATGTCCAGACTTGTTTTTGGACTTCTGTGCGCGACTTCATTTCCCTGACCCTCCTGTTCAGAAATACCTCGAATGACAACTGAATCCTGTTAACAGCAAAGTCAGCTGGTCAAAGGATCTTCAAACACTTTTGAAGATAGTTTCTGTTTCTGTCGGAAATATAACTTCTGTCTAGAGTAAACATATTTTGGAAGAATGTGCAACATCTTACACATAAATACAGCAGATATTCAAGTATATCCTGTGTAAATGTCTCTCTGAGTCATGATTGTCTACAATGAGTGAGAAGTGCGAGTGAGTCTCACCAGCTGTACTGTTGTCAGCACTGTGTTTACATCATGTTTACATGGACGGGACGGCCTGGTGTATAAAGCTGTTTTAGTCAAGAACTAGAGAAAAGAAGAAGAACATAATCACTGCTTATTTGGATGTAACGTTAGTGTGTTTAGATCTTGATCATTCTGTGTCAATTTATGTGCAATATGAAGCTGTTCGCTAACTAATGTGTGCTAACATTAGCCTGCTAACACAACAATGCAGACCACAGGCAATTGCAGCTCGAGCAAAGGACAATTGTGCCCACCGCTTGCCTAAATGGTACTTACTGCCCTTTATGCCTAATGGCATGTAGGGCAGCAACAAAGGATCTCCACTCCTGTCTGTTTTGGGCGAGCTTTTGGATAGAACTCCAGGTCTGCTGGTTGCCTAAATGGTGCTTACCAGTAATCATGGTGCGTTCTAATTGATAACTCCTTTGTGCGAACGCGAGTGGAGAGGGGTTGGAGGTGTGTCTATGGAGGAGAGCGGAGGCTTCAGAATAGAGGAGGTGTCTCCAAACGGCAGTTTGTTTTGGATCAAATATTCACACGTTCTTCCTTTGATAAAGTAAGCTGTATATGTCTTAAACCTAATTATCTTGCATCAAGCAATTAAAATAAATGTGTTTGTGTTAAACTGCCTAGATTGTAGTTAGCTTCTAGACATAATGGATGTGTGTCTGCTTTTGTTAAACCACGTGTTTGTGTGTGTTTCTTTGTGTGTTTGTGTGTTTGTGTGTTTGTGTGTTTGTGTGTTTGTGTGTTTGTGTGTTTGTGTGTGTGATTTGATCAGGAAGGAGAGTGGGTTGCAGAGAAAGCCTTCCTCGATCAGCAGGTGTGTTTGTTAGAGCAGCAGAATCAGGAAAAGAGCAGCCGGCTGGAGGAAAGCATCACCTCTCTACACACAGAGAGACAGATGCTGCAGGACAGGCTGGTATGTTGTGATGTTTTCAGTGATTTATATCAGTAATCTTTAACACTGTGCAGAAGTCTTTCTGTTATTCTTAAGAGATGTGGTGTAATAGGACGGTGAAGGACAATGTGCCCTGTGTTCACTAACTCTTTGCTCTCCCTGCTCTTGTGTGTCAGGCTGATCTGAACAAACAGATGGACGAGGCAAACTCAAATCTGAGGACGCAGTCAGAAGAGCTGGAGCAGTGCAGGGTACATTTACACACGTTAACATTTAATTGACTTTTAAAACTGAGAACTTGCTGCTGATGTTCTTTTTCTTTTATCCCATATATTGGGACCTCCTGCAGGCGGCTGCTTTGTGATTGTTTTTTTTCACATCTCAGTTTAAGTTAATCTTATTATGTTATATTTAATTTTCTTTTCATGTATTTTATCTGTCAGGAGACAGTGTGCAATGACACTGATCATATAAAGACAAACAGAAAAGAAGGTTGCACCAGATTTAGCGAGTTGCTGATTTCCATCTGTAATAATATAATAATAATAAACTTTATTTGTGTAGCACCTTTCATACAAGTATTGCAGCTCAAAGTGCTTTACAGCAGAACAAGACATAAAATGAGCATCACATAATAATTTGTAGTCTCAAATAAACGTGACACAAGACACTCTATGAAACTTAACAGAGGAGAGTAAAGAAACACACCTGACAGCACTAAGTACTTAAACTACATAATAAATGCTGTTAACACTGTACAAAACAACAAGTATATCCTGCACGGTACAAAGTATAAAGACAAAGTATTGGATGTCACAACACGTCAGTTAGATGCTCTTAAAGGTCTGTTTCTTGGAGACTTTAACTTGTACTGTATGTCCTGGCTAGATGACTATAAGCTTTACAGACTGCCATAGTACTAAGACTAAGAACAAACCACGACGGCCAGTAGCCTGTATTTGTCCTAATTCTCCTAATTCTATTGTCTCTGTGTTGTTGTGTGTTCCTCCAGACGGAGTTGATCAGCCGACAGACAGTGAGCACAGAAATAGCCAAAGCTCTAGAGGACTCCAGAAGACAGAAGGAGGAGCTACAAACACAGGTCTGTGTACTGAACATCATACCAGCAATGATTTAAGATGATGTGGAAGTGTTCCTCTGGAGTAGCTTAGGAAATGAAGGTTCCTGTCATTGATCCCTTTTAGATTATAAATCAAATAAGTCAGAGCTCGTAGTGTGTGAGTATCACAGCATGAACCGTGTGATTAAAAAGTCTGTACCTTTGCTTGTCGTCAGGTTGCCGAGATGACCTCATCTCTTCAGACGTCGCAGCAGGACCTGTCCTCTGTCAATGAGAAGCTCACTGAGAGAGAGAAAAGCATCAAAAAACTTCAGGATGGTACATAAAGTGTTTCTTTCGGGGTCTGAAGTGTTCGTGTGTTTAAGTGCCGCTTCAAGACTAAATCATTTAATTGCAAACCACATGTAGTCCATAAAGTGTGGTTCACTTCTGTCAGAAGTAATTTGATGCCGTTTAAAGGAGCATTCTGGTGTTTTTAAACCTGGGTCTGTATATTTGAGTGTAGGAGTTAACTTCAATTGGCAGCAAAATGAAACAGCTGTAAAGGCATCGATGTAATCACGCTCTGTTCTCAACATTACAGAAAGGATTCCTCCAAACATCATTTTGTCTTGGTTTTAAGATCTGTAACTTTTCTCTGGTCTCACGCAGAGACCAAAATGATGTAATGACGTTTAGACATTGACGTGAAGGAAATGTAAAATAATTTGTCAGTATTTGCCTAACATTGACCATTCTCCTTTTTTTTTTTGTCTACCTCATACTGTACTGTTTTTGGGTGGAATCAATCTTTAACGTTTTTGTGTTATGTGTGTCACAGAGGTGCAGCATCGGCAGGAGTCTCTGGTCCAGCTGCAGGAGGAGGTGGAGCGGCAGCGGGCTCAGATGGAGCATATGGAGCTGGACAAAGACTCCCAGCTGGTCGGCCTGAGGGAGGAGCTGCACAGCCAGACACAGCAGCTCGATGGCTACCAGGCGAGGGTAAGCAGCAGCACCGACACACTATTAGCTTTTCTACACTTGCACAAGACTCCTGAAAAACTCCTGATATGTGTGAACGCAAACGCATATTTTTCAACCTGCTGGACTTGGCTTTTGATGATCTGTATTGGGGCCTGACCGATATGGTATTTTTGGGGCTGATACCGATTTTGATATGACATATCACCGCTTGACACTGTGCAGGTGACAATGCTCTTTGTAATCCAAATAGCGCACTCTGCTGATGACAGCCAGAAAGAGAACTGCTAGTGTAATACAATGAAACTCAAATGAAAAGCTGAATTAGCCAATACCGATTTTCATTTGATATGCTAATATTGGCCAATATTATTGGCCGTCTGGTCTCTGATCTTTATCTCCTGCCTGAGGGCAGAAGCTCAAACTCACCAAACTAAGGATGTCAAGGTCACTGTAGGATGTTTGAGCCTTTAGCTGCAGCTCTTTCACTAAAGATGAAAGACAGATCAGGTCATTTGATCCCAATGATCTTTCTTGAAACTTTAATGATATGTTGCAGCCTATTCTAGTCTCCATTGAGAGATTACCAAACCAGATGAAGGTAATGAAGCCAAAAGTGAGGACCGACTCCACCATGGAGTCGTAGAAAAGAGTCTTTAGTTTACTGCACACACCAAACCACTTTGAGAGACTGTATATATAAGAAGTGGACGCTCAAGTTCACAGCTGTTTTGAAGCATCAAGTTTTGCACTTTGGTTGTCCCATCTTGTTATTTATTCATAAGATCCAGGACTATATTTGAATACAACAGACTGCTGAACGAGGCCTTGTGCAGGTTTATTGTTGTACTAGTCAGTCATACAGCAGCTGTGCTCTAATCTATATCCTGTTTTATCTATTATACTGTAGTCGAGACCATTAAAAAAAAATGGACCTGACCTGAGAAGTTGCCTCATCTTCTTCAAAAGATGACATGTCATTCATGTTTCTGCAACCAGTGGAGACGCCCCCTGCTGGTCATTAGAAAGAATGTACTCGACTGCACACGACTGTACTGGCTCAAAGTTTCAGTCTGAAGATACGCTCATTTCTTATGTCCATTTCTTTATAACAGAATATGATAAAGAACGTCACCCAGGAAAGACCGTTTTTCTTTATTTGGTGACGGAAGTTTAATAATAATTTAATAACAGTGCTTTTTACTTACTCATACTTTATTGGAGACGTTATGAGAAGCAGAGAGAACTCCCATGATTCCCCAGCCTAGCCTCGACGCCATTGTTTTTGTATTGATTGAGAGCCCCCTGTCTGCCAAATCTACATATTGTATCTTTAAAAGATCATTATATGCTTTATATTTCTGAATTTTAAAATCAGTTGTAGTTATTTGTTTATGCCTTTAGTTTTTGTGTGTGTGCCATCATCGGTCTTCTTAAACATTGTTCATACTCTGATTTTCTCAAATATTGAAACTTTTTCACTCTAAATCTTGTCCAAGAGTCAGCCTGATGTTGGATGTTTGTTCTCCAGATCTCATACCTGGAGGTGGAGGTGGAAACGCTCACGGAGCAGCTAAACACTCCTGAAGTGTGTGAGGAGGATCAGAACGGCACTGTGACGGTGGACGATCTGGATCACCTTCAGAAAGTCAACAGAGAGCTGGAGCAGCAGCTGAGCGACAAGAACAGGGTCAGTGATGTTTGGAGCGGACGTTGAAGTTTCCCTAAAAGCCACACAAACAGACACATTATGCAGAGACACCAAACATCACGCGTGACAAATGCACATTGCTGTTGTTTTGCAGACCATCAAGCAGCTGCAACAGAGACTTGCAGAACTGAAGAGGACCCTTCAAAAGGAACTGGTGAGACGCTGTGACTCTCATGAAGGGTTTTCTTTTTAAGCCAGAAAAGGCATCCACTCATCTTTTTAAACTTGATTAAAAAACAACATAAATATGCTGCTCATCTATCCTGTTCCTTATGTTCAAGATAAGAGATTTGCAAGTATGACAATCACTGCCTAATCAACTCCTCTCATTACAATAATAAGAGAGGAATTATACAAACTACTGCAGGAATATTGAATGTGATTGTCCTACGCTGAACTGGGGTCGTTATCGTTGTGCTCCGCAGAAGCTGAAACCTGAACCAGAAGCTGAAGGAAAGGAGAAGTTGCCAGAAAGCAGAGCGGAAAAACAAGAGAGGGTTTTTTCGGACCCGCCACCAGCATCGTCGCCGAGCCCCCCGACCTCCAACACCACAGTGACCAACACATCGGACCTCAACGACTCACGGGAAATCAACTTTGAGTATCTCAAACACGTGGTCCTCAAGTTTATGTCATCCAGGGAGGCTGAGGTAAGTCCGGTCCAGCTCCTCACCGGGCTAAAAGACGTCGATATAATCTTTGTGTGCAGCTCCGTTGTTTGGTCTCGTATGTATTCACTAAATGACTGAGCTTAGCTTTGTCACAAAACCAGTCTGAATGTGAGTGTGTCTCTGTCACTGTCAGGCGTTCCAGCTGATACGAGCTGTGTCTGTGCTGCTGAACTTCACTCGGGAGGAAGAGGACATGCTGAAACAAACTCTTGAGTACAAGGTTTGTGTTTCATTCATCTCTTTCTACAGATTCTACATAGACATGAAGAAGTGTGTTTGTTTCTCTTTGTAGCATATTTAGAGTCTGACCTGTATTCATTGATTACATATCAGCAGGCTTCTGTGAGTGCAGGAAACAAAGTGTGTGTGGGTAGCAAAAAACAGGCAGATTATTATCTGTGCTTTAACATACCGGCTCCCATCGTCTTCATCCTCGCAGTAATTTATTTATCTTTACAAACAGACATCTGCATTAAAGCACAGCTAACAATTCATTACAGATCAATCATTTTACTTTGAGCCACAAATCTGCGGGACCCTGTGTCACAAAGAGCGTCAGTGATTAGATTGCCCAATTATCAGAAATGCATCAGAAAGTATCAATTCAACCTTCATTCTCTTGATGACAGACCTGACAAAGCTTGACTTCTACTTTTTACAAATCTGCATCATGATGTTGCTGAGTGAAGCCGCTGTGTAACTTGTAGTGTATTGTTGCACTGAGGCTCAGCAGATGAACGGGTATGAGTGCTGCATGAAAAAGAAGGTCTTGCCTGGAGGTCAATTAACGCTACCCTCTGGCCTCACTGGAATTATGGAGGAACTGAAATCCGTTCCCAGAGGCATACACCGTCTATCTCATGATGATTCTGTCTTCAGCTTCAAACATTTTTCGTAAAACCTCCAAGTTAATATATACTGTATAAGTGTAGTGTTTAAAATGAGTACTGCAGTCTAGATTCAAGACATTGTAGAGAGCTGTCTCCCCTGGCCCTCTCCTCTCTAGAGTCCATGCTCACACAGGTCACCATGTGGTGGACACTGAAGCTTCAGTGTTTATCCAGCTCTGCATGGGTCTGTAAACCTTTCTGTGTTCTAACCTCTCTCCATTTTTCAAAAGCATCTCCAATATTGATCCTAGTTTGAGCACGTTTCTGCTCGTGGAGCTTATTAGAAACATGCAGAGGCTTTTTAGGTCGGGTACAATCACTTCTATCTGAACCACTTCTCTTGCTGCTTCCATCACTGCAACACCTGTTGGTTTGACCTGATAACTGCTCTCATATCTGGCAAACTAAAGGGCGTCCAAAACAGCCGTGTGGGGGTTCCTTAAAAGCGCCTACCTTCTCTGGTCCAAACAAATCCAGAGCATTCAGGAGCAGAATCTAAAGTTAGAAGGAAGACATACTGGCTGCTGCATTGTTGTCAGAGAAGCCAGCACTTCAGCAGAGCATGTTTCCTTAATGTCTGATCATATAGTAAGCTACCTTTAGAGCTAGTTTTTACTGTCAACTAACTTTACTACTGGTATGTTTACTGCTCTAGATGTCCTGGTTTGGATCCAAACCTTCTCCAAAGGGTGCCATCCGGCCTTCAGTCTCAGGCTCTTCCACTCACTGGAGCTGATAAGCAGCACAAAGAGCTCAGGTGATGGAGAGACAGGACCTAAAGACAGGAGTCCTGGAGTCCTTCTTCTGTGAATCCCTTCACTGAGCCGGAGTCTAGCTTTAAACTTTAAACAGGCCTCCACTGTTGACTCGGACTCCGTGTGTGGGAGGGACTGTTGTTTTCTGCTGTCCTGGGACAGAGAAGAACTGCACACAGTGGGAAGTAGGCATAAAGGCCTATTCATAATCAGTTGTGGGTTTTAAAATTGAAGATGTTTTCACTTTAATAGTGAAGGTAGATGGACTTTTAAAACACAAAAGAAGGTCAACAGACACGCACATCATCGATACTCAAGTATCACTTTTCCTCCCAGACCTAAGACACAGATTCAGATAGTTTGTAGTTCAAGTAATGAACCAACAAAATGTTTAGAAAAAAAAAACAGTCACTTTATTTTTAATTTAAAGGTCACATATTGTGCACAATTCACTTCACCATGTTTCTCTAGCACTAATATGTGCCCCTGGTCTGTCTGCAAACCCCCCAATGATTAGAAAAGTCCATCCTCTCCATCTTCTTCCTGCTCCTGCTTTTCAGAAAATGTGTGCTCAAACAGGCCGTTTGGAGATTTTGCCTTCATGACATCACAAAGGGCAGTAACCCCTCCCCCAGGTGGGTGACACTCCCACAGCTAGGTGTTTGTTCTGCCTTCTGAGTCTGCCTTCTCACCGTAAACAATAGGGCATGGTGCGAGAGACTGAGCCGCCCAAGCCCTTCCAGAGAGGGGGCGTGGTCAGACACAGCTCATTTACATATTTAAAGGTACAGACACAGAAACAGCCTGTTCTGAGCAGGGCTGAAATAGAGGGGTTTATAGACATGATCAAATACAGGATCAGAGTGGATTTAGAACAAGAGACTTCACAGGCATGTTTTGAGGAGCTCTGAGACTTATTGAAACTAGTTGTAAAGGAGAATAATATGTGACCTTTGAGGAATTGCCTCATTTCTACCAACAATTAACTCACGTTTGTTTTCCTTATGACCTGGTCTGACAGTCATCATGGGACATAGGCTTTGAAAGCGGTTAGTTTTGGTAACCTTTAATTATAAACCACCGAGAGCATCTTAATGAAGGTGTGCTAAGTAGACATAAGTACCACACATTTGTGTCCAAGGCTCTGAATTTGTCTCAATTTATTGCAGATTTAAAACCTTCGTTTTTCTGAATTTGTCATAAAAGTGTCATCTGTCACTTCCTTAATCCAGAGAGAAATTCATGACCACATCACTTTGTTGGTAAAGAAATCAGTGTAACAATTAAGCGTTTCTTACAGTTTAAGGAATCCAAGTTGGCCTTTCTGTTCACCTCTAACCCCCCATCCCACAGTGATTATGTGAACTTAAACACTGTTAAAAACACATAATTATCAACCAATCAAGTGACTCAAGAGAACTTCATTTCTCTCATTCTTTTCTATTGATAAGTTACAGTTTCATCATGTTTCCTCACCTTATATCATGATCTGAGCTCTGAGCTTTGAGGTCAACACCAGTGATATGTTTCATTTTTCTTTATTTTAAATTCACCCTTACACTGAGCGTTTTGCTAAAGGGTCTCTCAAATGTGGTTAATAAGAAACTGGGACCAAGACACCTGCTGGACAGATCATGTAATAACACTCATTGGTGCTCTCTCTGGTGGATGCTTTATGTAATGGTGACACTGTACTGTTGTTGTAAATGCAGAAAGAGTACGACAACTTGGATTCTTAAAATTGACCTGGCTTTGGTTCAACAGCACGTAAAAAAAAAAGAAATGAAATCCTTCCTGCTTGGCCATTTGACTGTTATAATAGATATGAATCAAGCCTCTCCCAGCAGCCCTCACCCCCTCTAACCATCTGTATCCCAAAACACTCGACCAGTAGACCTTATCATATATATGCAGAGGAAGGGCTACCTCTGGGGGGGCTCCACTCATGGTTTAAAAAAATAATAATAATAATTTACAACTGTTTCAATTTCTCTGTTGTTTTGGTTCCTTTACCCCCCATGAGAATGATCCATGCTGTGTTTGTCCACTTGGAGTACAACAATAACAATGTGAAGAAAGAAGTGAATCCTCTGTAAGTGACTGGAGGACATCTCTGTACCTTTACCTGCCTTTGCTTATATGTAAATGAAAGTACATTCCACATGTCTATTTATACATAGAAGTATGTACATACTGTATGCTTTGAGAACTTTATAAATCAGTGGATGTAAATGGTTTGATGTGACCAGTTTGCAGTATTTATGATCATCGTCATAGTGCATAACCCTTACATGTTTCCGCCTCAGCTTGTCCCTAGTTGGTCCTTTTTCCCCCTCAGTGTGATGAAAGTCCTAACATATTTAATAAAGTTCATTTTGACATGGGGGGGGCAGCCCAGGGAATCTGCATGCCTGCTGTCAAACTGCATTGTTGAATTTCTGAAGCAGTTGGTCAGTTTTTGTTGCTTTATGTTTTAATTTCTGAAATTGTATGTATTCCAGAAATATGCACACAATGTGAAGCATATATGCAGTCTGCATAGCATAATCAGTCACATAAAGGAAACCTGCATCAAGGGTGTGATCGTTGTCTTTCTGCCATGTGCAGTTTCATCAGCTGAATACATGATTTGTGTGTCAGGATATGGGAGTCTGTCTTTGAATACAGAGCTCGTCATGTTCAGTGTGTCACTAATGAGCGGTAGCAGGCCGGTGAAGTTGCCAGGAATCTGTTGAATTCTGTCTCTGTGAGAAACGAGAGGAAATTATGAACGCACTTTTGACCCCTGTACAATTACTACATGATTCTTTTTGCTGTTTATGATTTTAAAACGCCTGCAAGTACAAATGTCTCCTTGTCCCTCATTTATTTATAATAAACCTAAAATCATGTCGACATATATATATATATATATATATATATAAAAAATACTGCGTTTATTCAAAGTTTAATGTTTTTCCTGGTAATGTATCTATTTTCTTGAATTAACTTAATTTAAAAATGCACAATTTACACATGATGTCAAACAACCAACAATACGTGAGAGCTGTTCAACAAATAAAAATGTAATTTTGTCACGATGAAATGAAATAGAAATTGTAAAATAATTATAAAAACATCAAAATATACCAAGAAAAGTATATACATAAATTAAACAAATATATATCTCTATGGTTGTACAAGTATGTAATAACTCTAATACTAAACTTTAAAACTTTTGCTTGTGAATGAAAAGTAAGTGACGTGATGTTACACACTCTTGTACAGTAGGTGGCGGTATGCAATTTTAAGTCGTTTGCGATCCGCCAGAAGGAGAGAAAACAGAAGAAGAAGAAATTCACCGGAAGCTACTTTTCTGCTGCACGCGGTGCGTCCGGCCTTTCCAACAGGGCAGCGAGAGGGAACATGGTGAGCAGCCCACTCTCCTGTCTTAATTCTGTTTTTTATCCGTGTTTAACTCATCTTAACACGGATAATTTGGTGTCTACGTTAAGATAAGGTTCTTATGTTGTTGTTCGTACATGTGTTGATAAGTAAGCTGATACATTAATGGATTAAAATGTAATATCTTGTAGCGGTGGTACGGGCTCGTAACGCGATGCTGTGTGACTGTGTGTGGCCTGCTAGCTCTAAATGCTAACATGTTAACAGCGTGCAGCCAGCGTGTCCGTGTTATTACTGCTGGCAGCTCGTATCTCGTGTAATTGTGATTTAACATGCGGATTATAAATTATTAGGTAGTATTATGTATATAAACTTCACAGAGCTATGCTAGCTTTGTTAACGCGTGTCGGGAAGAAGCGGCGGTGTGTATCGCTGCTGATCGGTATAAACCTGGTCTTCTTTACACTGAATAATTGTTTATTTTATCTTGTCGTGGTCCAGGCTAAGATCAAGGCACGAGATCTTCGGGGCAAGAAGAAGGAGGAGCTGCTCAAGCAGCTCGACGACCTGAAAAATGAGCTGTCTCAACTCCGTGTGGCCAAAGTGACCGGAGGAGCTGCCTCCAAGCTCTCCAAGATGTACGTACTGTCTGAACACGATCCACAGCCCTGTTCTCTACTCTAATAGTGATCATGGTTGACTCGGGTTTGCCACGACTGTGCTTGTCAAGAAGGGGATTGTATAGAGAGCCTTGATGTTTGATATCCAGGTGAAGAAAAGCTTCCTTCAGTCTGTCACCTGAGGATACACACATACTGTTTGTGGCAGCTCAACTTTCACCTCAACTGTATATTTTAGTGGTTTATTTTTTGGGGCCCTTTGTTGCATAGATAGGACAGTGGATAAAGTCTGAGATTGGAGAGAGTGTGTGAAATGACAGGCAGGAAAGGAGCCACAGGACAGATTTGAACACTCGCAGCCCACTTAAAACTATTACAGCCTCCTTACATGACGTGTACACACTACCCACTAGGCTACCAGCGCCTCTGTGAATATATATTTAAAATCCTTTGTGAAGTCAGGACTTGACTGTACTTTTTGTATTTGTACACTTGCTGCCATGTATCAGACTCTTACTCTAGAATGGCTGTGTAAGATGCACTTTCAATACCAATTTTTCATCTAAAAAGTAGACTGTTTCCTTCATATTGGTGATTGAAGTCACCTAATATGCCCATTGGCATCAGGGTCTCAACAAGGCCGATGCAGATGTTAAACTGGTCCACCTACACAATATGTTACATTTTAAGACGAGATATGTTCAAGACTGCTCAAGGAAACTAATTTACAACATAACCCTTACATTAAAAGGTGCTCTCGTCAAAGATGATACTTGTGAGCTGATGTTTTGCTGAAGCTTTTCACAATGCTTACCAAAAGACTGAGACTTGAGCTTACCTTCATGTTCCTCATCATCCTGCTCTTAATGTGGCTTTTTGTATAGAAGTTGGGTTCTTGGTGTCATTTGAACCTTAAACTTTGAGTTCACAGCTGAAGTTATGAGCTGATCAACTCGTGTACATTTATATTTCCTGAAGCAATCTGAACAGTAAACTCTGGAACACAAGGACCGAAACAGTTATTGAGTCTGCCGTTTGTCATTTCAGCCGTGTTGTCCGCAAATCCATCGCCAGAGTCCTGACTGTAATCAACCAGACACAGAAGGAGAACCTGAGGAAGTTCTACAAGGTGAGATTACCTTTTTGGCTTGTACTGACACACACACACACACACACACACACACACACACACACACACACACACACACACACACACACACACACACACACACACACACACACACAGCTTCCTGGGACTTGGTGCTCTCGTCAAAGATGATACCTGTGAGCTGATGTTTTGCTGAAGCTTTTCACAATGCTTACCAAAAGACTGAGACTTGAGCTTACCTTCATGTTCCTCATTATCACGGACTATGTTCACCTGGTCTGCATGTTCCCTCATCATGACTCACTATTTTACACATGGACTTGTCATTTAACTATTTGAGTAACATTTCTAGTACCACTATGAAGAAGGAGGTCTCAATGACAACCAATGATAATTCCTTTTTAAAAATGCAACGTTTGTCACAGCAGTAATGTTGCTGTCCTTTATTGGGTTTTTTTTTTTTTTTAATAAAGTGAAGCACTCTTGATGTGTACATGTTTGATCCGGTACTGTACCTGCTCTGCTCAAAGTCAAAACCATTTACAGAGTGTTTGTAAACTGCAGTCAGTGTGAAAGTAACAAACATGGCACTGTGATATTATCTCCTTCTCTTGCAGTACATGCCATGTGTGCCTCAGCTGGTCCCTAACTTAAACAAGTGATTTTTCCAGCATTACATTTAGTGACTGCAGATTCCTGATAAAGTTAAAATGTTAAGTGTTGCACTGTGCTCACTGCTTTGGAAAAACTAAATACTTAAATATTAAATCTCCTTGTTCTTTTTAATGGTAAGATTTTGAAGTGCAGTAGTTGCAGACCTTTTCCTTCTTTCTGTCGTCAGTTTTCCCTTACTAAAAAGTAAATGTCGTATCTTGCAGGGTAAGAAGTACAAGCCCCTGGATCTGAGACCCAAGAAGACCAGAGCTATCCGCCGCCAGCTCAACAAGTACGAAGAGGGTCTGCGCACCAAGAAACAGCAGAGGAAAGACCTCCTCTACTCCATCCGCAAATTTGCTGTCAAAGCTTAGAGGCTTTTTCTGTTAAAATAAAATCTGTAAAACACCAGAAATGTGTTGTGAAGTTTTACCAATTTCCTCCGTCAACAAAACACTCTAAAGTCCCACATGGAGCTGCAGCTTCAGAAAAGAAACATGATACATATTTGTGTTTATTTGTAAATGAATGTGGTTCTCAATGATTCTTCATGATGGATATCCTCCCTGTAGTATGTGGGACATGATTATTAAAAAAAAAAAGAAAAAAAATCATTTAATAACTTGTGGTGCAAAATGTCCACCGTTTAAACATTTTCTTTCACACTTTCACTGGTCCACCTAACCAATATGTTACATCTTAAGACCAGTATTAATGAGATAGATAACACCTACCCTAAGTCCATATAACCCTTACATTAAAAGGTGCTCTCGTCAAAGATGATACTTGTGAGCTGATGTTTTGCTGAAGCTTTTCACAATGCTTACCAAAAGACTGAGACTTGAGCTTACCTTCATGTTCCTCATCATCCTGCTCTTAATGTGGCTTGTTGTATAGAAGTTGGGTTCTTGGTGTCACTTGAACCTTAAACTTTGAGACTTTTTGCTAAACCTGCTGATGTGGCAGCAAGTAGACTTGGTTAAAATAGCAACAGAACTGCTCAAAACACCTATGATAAATCTTACATTCATGTCGAGAGTAAAAACTGGAGTACATATTGTGTGATATTTCAATAATTTTTTTCTTTTGTTGGTTAAGAATTGATGCATGAGACTTCAGCCGCTGTCTTCTAGTGTTGTCTTTAAAATCTCTTCACAGAACATTTTTTGGGTGCTACTTCTAAATGAGATTTTCCACATATTGTCTGTATCGAGGTTTCCAGCCTGCGAAGATCTTCAGACACATCTGTAAATCAGAGAATGTGTCTCACCCATTAAACTGTTCTGAAAGATATTTCCTCTTGAAACCAGGGAGGCAGAGTAACAAAGACCTGTGTGTTTGGATAGTGCTTTCTATGTAATGAGTCTTCTATGAGCAGAGTAAAGATTACAACATTCAGCTGCAGGCTGTCTCGACCAGGCCAGAGTTAGTTAAACAGGGGTAGCAGTTCTTGCACAAAGCAGTGATTTTAATATGAAGAAAATGATATACGAGGAGATAATTACGGTGATGGGACTAATCCCACCAGCAGATGTTTAAAGCCTGAGAGTCTTTTAGTCGTTAATGAAGTCAAACCTCCAGAAGAGGGCAGCACATTTATACATTGTTCCAAAATCTATGTTTTCAATCTCTAAGTAAAACTGACTGAACCTTTCCCTGAGTTTAAAACCGGGGTGTCTGAATGGACTCTCTCAGCCTTTTCTCATGATCTCTACTTTAATGTGGAAAACACACACTGAGGAAACCATTTCAAGTTTTAAGAAGGTTTACACTTTGATTAATATCCTGTGAAGCTAAGCGTGTGTACGTATCATAGATTGTAAATATTCAGGTACGTATCCTCTGAGTCTGAAGAAAGAAGCCAACATGGCCCTTAAATCTGCATTTTTTGTTATGACATACACCTTGAATTATATGAAATATAAACACATGAACACTTGATCTTAATCGTTATAGTTTCAAGACTTTTTCTAATGTAGCATGTATAAACCATTGGTGTAAACCAGGGGTGGGCAAACTGGCGGCCCCCATCAACCCCCAACGTGGCCCTCAGGTCAATTTCTACATAGGGTTAGGGTTAGGGTCTCATGAAAACATGAGAAATCTGCCATGAAATCATGAAAACCAGAAATATGTCCATAATAATATTTGATCACTGGTATATGTTAAATTTGAGACATTATCGACTGTAATCATTGTATTCTACAATTTTGCCCCCTGGCAGTGAGAATTAAATGAATGTGGCTCTTGCTGTGACCAAAGTTGCCCATCCCTGGTGTAAACCATAGACTGTAAATATTAATATATAAACCGTATAAACCCCATGATTTAGACTGAAACTATGACGTCCCAAAAAGTAAAAAAAAATACAAATATTGTGTACACAATGTTTTTTTTCTAAACTTTTTGTTTGACTTCAGGGGCTCCGTAAATCATCAAATAACTGTCTTCAAAATATAATTATTTGAATCTATTTTCTAAAAAAATAAAATAGGCTACACATTGAGTGCATTTTATTTTATGTTCGATTCCTAGAAGATCCTTGAGATACTTGAAGATCTATTGAGAACTATTTATTCCTCCCTCTCAGACTCTCCTTTTATTTAAATAACAAAGCATTGGATGTATCTAGCTCTTTTCTGAAACATCAAAAACAAAACTAGAAGAATAAAAAGAATAAATACTCTAAGAGAAGGGGAACAAAGCAGAGGAGGAGGATGACAACAGAGCTTGTTGGTGATGATGAGGAGGTGAGTTTTTAGGGATCTTTTGAAGGTTGAGGGGAGGTCTCTGATGGTCTGTAGGGGTCAGGTGCAGAGGGTGGGGGCAGCAATGGCTTAATTGGCTGTATGTAATGTTTACACCTTACATGGTTTACACGTTTGCTATCTTAAAGCGTACCAAAACCACAAGTGTGATTGTCTATGTTATTTTTTAATTGATCAGTTTTTGATGTAATATTAACTGGGGAAAGAAAATTATGAGCGAATGATCAACAAAAACTCTCAATAACTCATCTACAGTTGAGTTAGAACAGATTGAATATAAACAATAGAGACCATAAGTATCCCGTCTCCATCAAATGATGCCACTTAAGTCTTTAATTCATTAAATATTATATAAAAGAGAAAACAGTGCCGTATTTAATGCATTAAGCATAAAGTGCAAAAAATTATATCTCACAAATGTAACTTTAATGCCTGAAGAATCATATTTCATGCACACACTTCTGACCTTTAATACCTGATTTGATATATTTTCAACAGGATTTTAAATCTGAAACTTGACAAAATAAGTTCATTATATGTTGCCCCAATCCAGTAAATATCACTAAGTGTCAGTCACAATTTAAACTGTTTTTCTTTTATCTTTTTAAATTTGGCGCCGATTTAAAACCAAGATACCTGATGTTCGAGAAAATTCAGTTTATTGATGGAAAGCCGTCTTGAGATGAACCTTCTTGTTTTTTGAGGGGGTCCAACACAAAAAAAACACAAAACAGTACAGTGTGATACAGACACAGTCAACACACATAAAGGCCGTCAGCCCACACATCCCTCCTGCAAATCCACATACACAGCACCCACACCAAACCATCAGAGGTAGACGCACATAATGACATATAATGCAATGAAGAAAAATAATGAAATCAAGAAATATAATGCAATGAAGAAAACAAAAGATAAGATCAAAGCGCCTGCTAAGTGTATTGTAACATTGTGACATAATGATATTAAAGGGGTAAGAGATGCAACTGTGCAGATGTCCTATGGAGCATGCTCTCTGTCCTCTGGTCCATTATGTGTGCTGCATCATGGATCTGATTTAATTATTCAGGCTAAAAAAGACATTCTCTGTGTGTTCAGCTGTACTAAAAAACAATCTGATGAGTCATATATCGGTAATAACTTTTTTATTTAAAGCCTGATTTCTTTTGTTAGCATAATCTGCTTCATGGTCTGATCGACTCTGAATGGGGTCATCATTAACAAAATAAACATCATGTTGTATTGGAGAAAGTTCAAACTAGAGCTTAAGACCATGACCTCGTTGAACAAATGTTAACTGAGTCATTTTTACATTTTATTTTTATTAAACCAGGAAAAAAACTCGTTGAGATTAAAAATCACTTTTTCAAGAGCGTCCTGGCCGAGACAGGCAGCAGCACAATTTACAGAGTTTCAAACAAACAATGAGCAGCCACACATACATGAATGAATGAATATTTATTTTCATGTCAGGTCATTCACATGACCCATCCCACATGGAATCATTCTGACACAATAGCTGAGAGTCAATCAAATGTTTAAGCATGTCATCAGCCCACATCCCAACAGCACCACTGACATGAACCTTCTTCCAAACAATAACACTCCAAAAGGTTTAATATACAACCAACACCAGCCCCCACAACACAATACATCAGTACAAACAAAACAAATACATCTACTTCATCCCTTCCAACCAGTTTACACATGATCCATTACAAATACACAAAATACATTATTAGACATTAAAAGACACAAGTAACACATTTAAACAGCAACTGTTTGACAAGATCCTCCACAACCACATCAGGGCGAACATCTACAGCCAGATGTGTCCGCCTCTTAAGTCCTTTAACATCCTGTTCAAATCATCCAATGAGAGCAGCTCGTTAAGACGTCTCAGCTCTTTTTGTAATTCATTTAAAGTAAAGGAAGCAAACTTAAAACGCCTTTGTTCCACAGTTCAGTTCTGACTTTTGGAATAGAAAGAAAGAAACGCTCCTGGGATGGAAGATTATAAATCCCTGTACTGATAAATTAACTGAAAGGTGAGATCATTTTTGCACAGGTTTATAAACAATTAGAGATCAGTCCGATCCGATCCTTAATCGAGGATCGGCATCAGGTCCGATATTGACATCATTTATGGATCGGATATCGGACTGACAGCGCTGATCCACCTCACTGATTAAGAAAGATGGTTGGACACTTAAAACCTTCTGAACTCACACAGACTCACTTTGAAGACGTTCAGACTGAACTGTAGGAAGTGTTCACAAATCATCAACATCAAGACGGTCAGACGAGATAGAAGATTCTATCACCTCAGTTTAAAAGATTTAATTTGAAAAACCTGACAGTTGTCACTGCTTCCTGTTTGTATGTGAAGACAGCACAATACAATGCAGTGCCGGGTTTACTGCAGCTTTGTGTAGCCTTACAGCTTATACCAACAACAACAACAATAACTTCATTAGTTATGATGATAAAAATATAGAAATCAGTATCGGTACATATGTATCGGAATCAGATCGGAACTGAAAAAAAGAGGATCTGTGCATCTCTTTAAACTATCAGACTTATTTTTGTAACCATTGACGTCGCCCCCTGCTGGCTTTTATAAACAATGCAGGTTCAAGACTCTTCCACCTCTTCTTCCCCTTTGAAATCCGAGGAGACCTTCACTTCTCATTAACTCTATGACCTCTACTCCTCTACAGTAGAGATGAATGAATGCATTTTTTGGTTTTCAGAAACTGCATGTTGATAAAACAAAAGAGCATCAGATCTTTAGTCTGGGTAATCCACAGTCCCTCTGTAGGCTACACCAGGCTGCAGAGGTTGCACGCCTGTGTTTTGCTGCATTTGGAAAGATGTTGATCTGAGCACGGTGGGCCTCAGGAATGCCCGGAATGGCAATCACCTTTATTCTAATTACTTTCCCACCATCACCATGCTGTCAGCTGCTCTGTGGCTCCCTCACAACACACAACGTGTCACTTTCCTCTGCACCGCTGCACACTGTCACCATGAGCCTTCAGACCGTCCTCCTCATGCTCTCAGTTTGTTTTTACATGTTTCCCCCGGCTCTCTCCCCTCATCCTGAATCTGCAAAGAAGAAGTCAGGCTGCTTCAAAGTCAACAACTGCAAATGCATCATGAAGGACGGCAGCGGCGTGATTAACCTGAAAGCTATGGGAGATGCAGACGGTTTCCTGGGGCGCTTGAGGCCTGTGTCCGCAGAGAACCTGCCTGTCAGTGTGGAGCTCCTCCTGTCCTTCAGCCCCTGCCAACCCTTCTCACAGCCAGAGGACTCGACAGGAACGGAGTGCACCAACGTTGCTGCATGCCTCGTCGTCAGGTAGACCAGAGTCAGTGCTGAGACTCACAATAAACCACTGCTTTGCTTTTCAGCTTTTACACTAAGGCAAGACGTTGTGAGTCATAAGTGTTAGGAACACTTGTTAAAGAAATAAGTGTAGGATTTAAAAACATCATTAAAATAAAGTAGGAATGACAAAAAATGCAGACCTTCATCTTGCTCTAACACTGAGGGTCTTCCAGTCTCGACATTTGGACCTTAATCTCAACACTTTTTTTTTCTCAGATCGCAAACCAACTTCTAAAGACTTTTTGAAATGGTTCTGCCCATTTGACTTTAATATTTACTCTATAGAAACATATCATGAAAGTTATTATTGTGCTTAATTCTCTGCAAAATGCTTTAATAACTCATGAATACATTTACTACATCACAGCCGTATCACTGCTATAGCATGTAGTTATGGGATGTGGTTGGTAAACTATCATTTTATTGATGTCAATATAACTTCCATGAAAACGTGCCAGTCCACTTCTCAATACTCTGCCTCACAGCCACAATCCCATTGGTTGCTGCTGTAAATCTCTGCAAAGAGCAGAGACGGGCTTCTGGTAAACATTTATCAAACATTGGTAAACAGGAGGCAGCTGTGCACATGTTAGGGACTACTTTTAGCAGTGGATGAGTTTAGAAAAAGGAGGTAGTTATAAACACATCCTGTAGGTGCAGGGCAGGCTGAGGAAGAAGAGATGACCACACACTTGCTCAAATACCAAAAGTGAGCAGGTATATATCTTCCTCCTCAGCAGTGGATTCATTCACATTCGTCACTAAAGTAAATGTTTGAGGCAGCAGGATATGTGGGCTGTAGTGAAAATAAATGACTTTATGTGTGTTCATGTTTCCTGGGTCAACAGAATGTCTCACTGATGTAATGAAGGATTTTTGGACAACTTTTACTCCGTGGCACAGGGGAATATGATCCATCAGACTTTAAATACACAGACAATACTTGCTGGTTAAAAACATGGATCCCACACGCCTTTTATTAAGGGGCTAGATAAGTCTGCAAAAATGTTATTCAGTGTTTGTGCTGTTAGTTTTTGTTCATCCCAATGTGCTGACTGTTTTCAATTGTTTACATAAATATGTTGATAGGGGTGTTATCAATGAAGGAGGACATTTCAGGACCTGTGTCCATTTTTCTTATTGCACTGGCAGTGAGTTTCAGACGTGCTTCTCACCCAGGCTTAGCCTACTGTTGCTAGGTTACAAAAGTTAGCTCATAGCACGTCTGCTTCGCTCCAAAAACTCGTTCAAACAAGTTAAACTATTTTCAAATGAGTTCTCAGCGATAAAATCAAGGTGTCTTTGATCTTAGGACGCTGAACTGTTTTGGTTTCGTAGAGAAAATGAGCAACGCCAGCACAGAAAATGGCCGTAATGGAAGCTCAAGACTTAGACCTGAGACTGTTACCAAAAAACAAGAAAAAAACAGAAAAATACCAGTGGCAGAATATTTAGTTTTGGTAACAAACATTTGATGATTTCGACTCTTAATTGCCTGTAGGTGTGAATGTGAGTGTGGCTGGTTGTCTCTATATGTCAGTCCTGTGATTGGCTGGTGATCAGTCCAGGATGTAACCCCCCCCCCCTCGCCCAATGACCGCTGGGATCAGCTCCAGCCCCCGTTACCCCGAGCGAGAAAAGCAGTAAAGATAATGGATGGATGGACATTTATTTATTTATTTGACATGGACATACAGTAACTTCAGTGCTGTAACATTCAACCATGCACAAGTCCAAGATGCACTGCTCTCAGTGTTGATAGCAAAATGCTAATTTGAAACACCTGTCCACGGGAGGCTTTTAAAAACAACAGGTAGAGATAAAGAAAAAGATAAAAGACGAGAAAATTAAAACAGTTCAGTTATGAATGCAAAAAATGATCAAATACAAGGCAGTAAAACTGTACTACAGAAATATGAACTTGTGTTTAATGTGTTGGAATGATGTTGTTTCTCCTTCAGACATGATTAAATACATGTCTGTCTGTTTAATGTTTAAGGGCTGTGACCTTTAGGTTTGAGAATGGTAACTGCAGGTATGTTTCCTTATCAACAGGTATCACGAGATCAACAGATTCATTAACCGCTATTTCAGCTACGGTAGACATGAAGGGAATGAGTTCCACTACAACGACACCCTGAAGACGCTGTCCGTCTCATACTTTTGTAAGCTTCGACACAAACATGACGTTTGCTTTTTTTTTGACACTGCTCATTTGTCCTCGTTTTGTGATGATGTCCCGGTCCCTAAATCATCATCTTCTTCTTCTTCTTCTTCTTCTTCTTCTTCTTCTTCTTCTTCTTCTCGTGTCCCAGCTCATGAGCAGAAGCCGCTCACAGTGGTGCATTATCACTGTAACCCCGATGAACCCGCTTCTTACATCCAGGACCTGAGTCTCGGCACAGAGGAGCCCCTGCAGATCTGGGTGGAGAGCCCCTGTGCATGTCAGAATGCCTGCGCCATGGGAGATCTGGGTGTGGGTACCATCTTCCTCATCATCCTCTGCGTCAGTGCTGCTGCATACTTCATCCTTGGTATTTATTTTACTTCAATGAGATAGCCCCAATGTTGATTACAAAACAAAAAACAATTATAAGAACATGACTGAAAGCCATCCCCTAATCCCTTCAATCTACATATTCATATTTTGATTACGCAGGCCCATACTGTTGCATGGTCCGTATAGTGAAGGGTTTATTTTGAAGGTCGATATGTCAGACTTAAACAGTGAGTGAGTTAGTCGGTATATATTCATATTTTAAGTTCTGAAGAGAAACAAACTACACAAAAAGATCACCTATACAGAGTCAGGAAAAGATGAATCTTCAGGATGCTGTTAAAGTCGATAAAGACACGCAACATAATAATAATAGATTTTATTCCTTATTCCTCGTTATTTATAGAAGGTGCCCTTCAAAGCACTCAAGGTCACCTTACCAAGCAGAGATAAAATAACAAAACAAAGTAACAATACATAGATAAAATGAACATTAAAAAGACAATTTTACAGGATGTAAGAAATCATTGTGTAGAGGATTTATGAGACCGGAAGGGGAATGATCAGACTGAATATGCCAGTTTAAAAAGATGTGTTTTGAGATGTGATTTAAAGATGGAGAGAGAGTCAATATTATGGATGTGTGGTGGGAGGGAGTTCCAGAGGGGTTGGGGGGCAGAGCGGCTGAAGGCCCTGGACCCCGTGGTGGACAGGTGGGCGGGTGGTGCAGTGAGTTGAGTACAGGTGGGTGAGTTGATGTGTAGGGGTTCAGAGAGCTACAGAGGAGCGAGGTTATGGACGGACTTAAAGGTGAGGAGCAGAATGTTGAAGTTGATGCGACAGCGTAGGTTTAAGAGTGAGATTAGAGTGAGATGATAGTGTGTTTCTATTTACAGCAAGTTGATGACGACGCAGCTGATTTAAATGTCTTTTCACTATTAAGGGCCACTCCACAACAGTATTCATTTTGAATGAAAGACCACATGAATGTTGAGACAGATGTATGTATGTTGAGATGAGGGTGAAGGAAGAGGGTGTTGTTGGGAGGATGGACTAAAGGCCGAGCAGAGAGGGAGATTCAGGATGGGGATTCTGTCTCTGAAATACAAAGGAGAGGCATAGGTTGAGTTGAAAATAAAGGGATGATGAAGGAGGGTGAATGGATGAGAGGAAGGGAGGGTCAAAGAATAACATGTATCAGAACTGGATCTTTCTTTTACAAGTACAGCCATTCAAGTGCCTTTCACCTGCATTCTGTCTGATGGCCTGCAGGGGGCAGTTTTAGAACAGTGCAGTGCTTGTGAGTGTATGAAAGCAGATGAGAAAATAACCCACAGCTTCCGTCTGAGCCGCCTTTCAAAAAATTAATAATAACATTTTAAGCATGATGTTTTAGTCCTGTAAGCTATCGTCCTGTTTAGAGTAAAAACACAATAAAGCAAAGTATAATCTCAAATTTTTTAGTTAAAAGTTGAGGCTTCAGAACTGTAAATCAGAAATCAGTGATTGACTTCATGATGGTTTTGTGCACATCACTATCTGATGGCTTTCAGTTAGATTATAGATTACAGTTTGGATTCATCCCCTGCTTATAATTTACAGTGACTAACTTAACGCATAGTTAAATGATCTTAACTGTAATCCATTCAAAGTTTACATACTGATACATTGCATCTGTGTATAACCATTATATAATAAATAAAGTGTAGCCTATGTTCTTTATGCTCTGCCACAAAAGTCAAAGTGAAGCAGTGCTGTTTTTCCCTGCGTTCTGTCTACAGGCTCCTGCGCCCTGAGGCCTTTTCGGAGCAGCAGTGGAGTTCAGATCTCTCCCGAGCACAGTGTGTGGTGTATGATCTGCTACCTCTGCACTGAGAGAAGGCCAGCAAGAGGACACTATGCAGACATGACACACAGCGAACGATAAGCAGCTGCAACCCTCTGCAACGCTACAGGAAGTCTCAGTGTGTCAAATGTTTTGACCTGAAGGTGTCGTGTCCCGCTGACGGCCCGCAGTCAGAATGGTGTAAGTGTTTTACAGTTCAGCTCAGAGTGACAGGCTCAATACCTTCACTCAGTATGGTGAGGAATTATAAGTTAACAATAAACGTCTTTTCATTTCTTTTTATTGCTTAAAAATTAATTCTCTTTGATATCTTACATTCACTTGTAAAATACAAAAAATAATGGTTTGGGGAAAGAGGCTTTGTATGCATGATGTGAATCGCCTTCAAAAAGACAAAATCACCACATCAGACAACAACATGCATAACCATCCAAGCGGAATAAAATGTCAAATTATAAGGAAAGAAAACATGTAATTAAATTTTAAAAAAGCCAAAGCAATGAGTACATTGAAAAGTAAAAAAACAATCAGGAGCCTTTTAGTAATTCAGATATTAGAAGATTCCAATGCATTAAAGGTTATTTTGCAATATTATGTTTTTCTAAGTCCCGAAATATGTCCCCAGTCTGTCTACAAACCCCCCAATGATGAGAAAAGTCCATCCTCTCCGTCTTTTGCCTGCTCCACTTTTCAGAAAATGTGTGATCAAACAGGCTGTCTGGAGATTTTCCCTTCATGACATCACAAAGGGCAGTAGCCCCTCCCCCAGGTGGGTGACACTCCCACAGCTAGGAGTTTGTACTGCTCTCTGAGTCTACCTTTTCACCGTAAACAATAGGACATGGAGGGAGAAAGCCCTTCCAGATAGGGGGTGTGGTCAGACACAGCTCATTTGCATATTTAAAGGTACAGACACAGAAACAGTCTGTTCTGAGCAGGGCTGAAATAGAGGGTTTATAGACATGATCAAATACAGGATCAGAGTGGATTTAGAACAAGAAACTTCACACACATGTTTTGAGGAGCTCTGAGATAGGTTGAAGAGGAGGAGAATATGTGACCTTTAACTGATTTATACCTGACATGGAGAGTATTTGGAGCGATTGTTTTACGTTGCAAGCTTTATTATAGTTCGTAGACTTAACACTTGTGCGACATTCATTTTTCAGTGATTGTGCTTAAATTTAAATACCTTTTAATTGTAATACCTCATCTTGCAGAATTCTGATATTCATTATCTAGGACTTTTAGACAGACCTGTTTAAATTTTCCAGCTACTAATTTTTTTTTTTTTTTTTCAAACATGACATAGCAGATAAAATATTGTTTCTGAAGTGTAAATATAGTTGTATATGGACAAAAGTGTCACAGAATCAGACAAACAGAGGTCTCTACATTTTGGAATAAATGTTGCTGCAGAGCCTCCTCGTTATAGTGGCATGATGTCATTGTCTTGGTATCTACAGTCTTAATATGTTCAAACACATGACATCTTAATGGCTGCATGGTGACAGTGGTTAGCGCTGTTGCCTCACAGCAAGGAGTTTCACATTCCCACGTCGGACACAGCCTCTCTGTGTGGAGTTTGCATGTTCTCCCTGTGCATGCGTGGGTTCTCTCCAGGTAGTCCGGCTTCTTCCCACAGTCCAAAGACATGCTGGTTAGGTTTATTGGTGACTCTAAATTACCCGTAGGTGTGAATGTGATCCGTTGTCTCCGTTGGCTGGTTGTCTCTATATGTCAGTCCTGTGATTGACTGGTGAACAGTCCAGGTTGTAACCCCGCCTCTCACCCAATGACAGCTGAGATCGGCTCCACCCCACTTGCGACCCGAAAGGGAAAAGTGTTGTAGATAATGGATGGATGATATATATTTTAATGTATCTCTTTGGACAAATAGCAATAATTCTGTCTTTATGGATTTCTTTCTGGTTGCTGTATGTAACAGTTTTGGTCTTTGAAGTAAATTTAAAGTAAACCTTGTTTTTGTCTGTGCGGCTCCTTCTTTTTTTTCAGAATATTTTTGAAGCACTGTTCCCCTTTTAGTCATTTCTGTTTCTTCTCTTATTTTTCCCGACAGTGTGGTACAGTTTATATTTTCTACACCATCTCATTTTGGAACTTGTAGGGTATCCATCTGTGGACAGCTGCAGACCCCTTGAGAAAAAGGCCTGCAGGTGTCACATCGCTCTTTTCTGTCCGGTCTATGTGAAGGTTTTTAAGGGTCAAGTTGGCTCGATCTGTTTTCATTGTGGAAGCTGTGCTGTCCTCCGTCCTTCACACCTCAGCTGTGCTCAGAGTCCTCCTGTGTGATGTCTTCAGAAGATGCTCTGTGGAGTACAGGTAGTGTGTTGGTCTCGTCTGGAGAGTTAAGGAACACCAGAGGATTAGCATGGGTCATGTTGACCTCAGATCCCTGAGTGTCCTCTGCTGTAGCCCTGCAATGAGCACAGAAACATCACTTGCAGTGACAAGTTAAACTTTATATTTTGAAGTCATGAATCCCCCACCCACCCACCTCTGCATGTGCACAAACTACAAAATTCAAATCTAAACAAAAGACGTGAGATATTTATTTGTGTCCTACAGGTCTGTCGTCAAAGAAAAGACCAAACTGTCAGCGAGTGACAATAGCCTTAAAATGCGTCAGACATTCAACAAAGCAAGTTTTTAACAAGATGCAGTACAAACAAAGTCAATGCAAAGACGTGTAAATACACAAAAACTGCACCAGGAGCCACAAACCACGTGAATCTAACAACATGAATCACTTTAAAACACACATTTGCTGACTAAGAATCGATAAATTCTTCTAAAAATGTGTTGCATAAGCTTGTGACTGTTGCTATTCTGCTGACTTGAATAGCATTTAAAAAGTTTTATGTGAAAAAGCTCACAGACCTCATCAAGTTTTACAACAGCATCATGAATAAGACGGTTATGAAATCATTGACTTTAGAGTCATATTCCTGAAGTGAAACAGGTTGCAGCTGTTGTGGGACTCAGAAACATTCAAACTAGCAGAGACAGATGGACAGGCGCTGCACAGCTGAACCAGAACAACAACACTAGTTAAAAAAACATCAGAGGGATCTTGGCATCGAGCCGAGTTCAGCCTGACCTGCTTAACAAGTCACCAAACTGGGCAGTGGTCCAGTCTCAAGCAGTGCTTAAAGCAACAATATGTAGGAATTTTGGTTCCCCCCTCTTAGACAACAAGAGTTTGTTTATGAGCAGATGGTGCAAAAAGACAAAGACATTGTGAGAAGCTAAACAACCATGTCGACCGACGATGTAAAGAAATATTACCTGATTATGCACAAATATGACTCTGCAAGCCTCTTCAGTCTGCTGGCTGCAAACTGCATGTGGAGTATGTGCATGTGTATTCATTTGTTACCATGATGTCTGTATAGCCTGTGGCTGAATGGTTTCATTGGAGAGGGTCTTAGTTAGTTGAGATAGATTTGTTTGTAAGGTTCCAAACTGATAACGGTAACAAGGAAAGAGACAACTTTCTTGGGGAAAGATGGATTTATTTTTTTCTATGCTGGCTTGAGTCATAACTTGTATTGGATCACTTTCTGCACCCGGTAAAGCTGCTAAACATAAGACAGCGAGGACACAGATAACGTTACATCTCAATCTGTCATGAATAATATCTGCAGGGATGATACATAAAAGATGGGACGCATCATCAGCGATGTTTCCTGGGTTCATTGGGTGTTTTGGGACTTGCAAAATCATACACCCTCGCCCAGGCGACCCAGCCGGGGTTCATCAAGCCCCGACTTGCGTCCCAGCAGGGATGAACACTCGGCTTCATGCTCGGTCACTCTCTCTCTCTCTTTTTCTCTTCTTAATCCGTCATCGTCCTCTTCCTCTTAGCTTCAGCTTCAACGGGCTAACTGGCTGTTTTTTAAAACTGAACACTTGTGGTTGAACTATTGCCGTAAAGCTGTACACACTTTTCACTAGATGATCTCAACCTGCTGCAAAAAAGTCACATAGTGCAGTAAACGGGAGAGACTCCATTCCATTGTGCTTTTAAATCATGCTTTGAGTGACTGTTTAAAGTAGGAAAAGTTAGATGTTGTTTCTGAAAAGAGGCAAATCCAAGAGGGCAGAGAAATGACTTGGATGAGTTTTAGTTCAGAATTATCTTGAGGGGTGAATATTGTGTTCAAATGACAAAAATGAGAAAGTGACACTAGGCAATAAATGGCTGCGCTTTTGCTGCATCTACTACAGCACAGCTTTGTTAGACAACGTGGTGACTCTATTTGTTCTCTCTTCCATAGCATCTCCGTGTCACCACCGAGCTCTGATGTTTCACAGGACTCTTCTTCACAGATTTTTCTGTAACCGCATCCTCTTAGGTTTCTGAATGACTCCATGGGTTAAACAGATCTCTTTTACTCCATGTGGGCATTCCCTTTTCATGCTCTGCAGTTGTTCTAATTGCTTGGGAAAATATTTTTTGTCCCCCCCCACCCTTAAACTGACATCACCTCTGAGAGCGGGTTTCTGTAGCAGTGGTCCAGATTTTGGAAAATAGGGTGAAAACCCCTGATGTGACGTAAAAGATTATCCAAGGAGCAGTTTATTCAGATGGCTGCTTTCCTTTGGCTTGCTACGGCCTCCACGCCCCAAACACACCCCTCTGACAACTCATACCTCATGTCTGCCGTCTCTGCATCCTGCTCCTCATCATCACAGAGCGATGAAGGCAGATACAGATGGAGCTCTGAAACTTTTGTGGCTCCGGCCAGTGCGTGAAGACCCCGCCTCTCATCGCTGGGGGTTGTGGGAGTTTCTAAGAGGAGAGAGGAATGTGAGCCATGCAGCCTTGAATTCACACACATTCATGCTGCAGAAGTCATTTACAGCATGCCAAATAATCCAACCAGTATGATCTGGGACTGGGGGAAAAAAAAAAAAGATTGAGCATTACAACATCTGAACAACTGTGTCAGCTTTTCACGAGTGGACATCCAAAAGGCAATTCCCCAAACTGCATAAAAAAACAAAACAATTCACCGCCCTCAATCCAAATAATTGAGAAAGAATCCAAAACAGAGAAACTTTCATGTCAATTGGCGTTAAAATTTGATTGTTTTTTTCTAAGTCATCAGAAAACAAGCACAGCTGTTACAGCCTGGAGCCAGAAGAAGAAGAAGAAGAGTAATTCATGTCGTCTGGGTGTGATTATGGAGATCTGCAGGCAGATGGAAGCTGTCATGTTTGTGTGTTTCTCAAAGAGGCCTTTAAAGTGGTGAGCAGTGTGCGTAAACAGCAGCTTTAGTTCTTATTATGAAAGGAAGGAGCCCATGTGAGTACCAGATATGAGGCAATTAAGATGTTGTTGTTTCTTTTAATCAGAAAAAGATTGGCTGTATATTGATTATAACTTCAACATGTATCAGTTTATAATGTCTATAACCATGCAGTTTCTAGTTTGGTTTAGTATTTTTGTTTGTGATTCTGTTATTGCTTCCTGTTTTATTTTGTCTTTTCCTCTCCTCGTGTTTCTCTCTCCATGTGTGTATTGTGCCTGTCATATATTCCTGAGTTCTCAGTTAGCCTTTAGTGCTTCCTGTTTTATTTTGTAGTTTTCTTTCTTCCTCTGGTTCATTTCTCAGGGACAGATGCAGTATACATGCAGAATAGTGATGTGAAAAGCAGTTCTTTTCAGTGTACTGAATCAGTAGAATCACTTCAGTAAAGTGATTCGTTCAAAAGATTTATTCACTGAATCGTTCAGTACTTCTCTGCAGCTCTGTCTGTGAATCAGAATTTAATAAGCTGAAACACGGCCGAACGTTTAGTTCTGCTCGCGATCGTACTGAGAACAGCCGGTGGTGAATAATAAACCAATGAGCTGAGACACACACACACACACACACACACACACACACACACTGTACTGACTGAAACACGATCGTTAGTGGATGTTAAAACAGTCAGCTGAGTGAAATTAAGTTGGATATAAAAGCCGTTTGTAAACTGACAGCAGCTATAAAAAGCACATACATTTTCACGACACCTAAATGTTAAATAATATATTTGCTACTTCCTCAATTTTGGAGACATGAGAGGGAGAAGTAGGGGCGGGCTTTAGTGACACAGAGCTCCCGACCGACTCCGTCCTGTTGGTTCAGTCAGTATGTATCACTGACATGAAAGGAGAGGGAGGGCGGGCTTTGAGCGACTCTTACGGTCTAGAGAGAGAGACAAGAGACGGGAGAGAGGAGAGAACAACTGAAGTTGAGAAATGAACGACTCTTTTCAGTAAGTGATTCAGTTCAGTTCATTCACCCAGATGATTTGTTCGTTTTGAACAAATCGTTCATGACCGACACATCACTAATGCAGAACTGAACAACAACTTTCCAATGCACTGCACCATAGCATTCATAGCTACCATGCTAATGTCTGTCCCTGAAAGGGCCTTCAGTATTAGTATACATTTTTAAATATGATAAAAATGTATAGAGCATGTTTACAGAAAGAGATAATCTGTGTTTGGTTGACAGTTATAATAAACTTTAAAGGCTTGTCATCATGCACATATACAAACCATACATACTGATACATACTGTGCATGCATGCATACACATTATACACACACACACACACACACACACACACACACACACACACACACACACACACACACACACACACACACACACACACACACACACACACACACACACACACACACACACACACACACACACACACACACACACACACACACACACACACACACACACACACACACACACACACAGATCTTTCAATCCCCGCCAATGACTTCATGATTTGTTAATTTTTAGGATTTCTTTCAATTTCATTTTTTACATTTAGACAGCTCTGTTTTTTTTTAAAGTTGGGCAGGAAGTATACTCCATCAGTTAGCTCCCTTTATAGTAAAAGCAGATACTCCGGCATGGTCCCTGCTGTGGTATTCCTGGTTTTAAATCCAAGGGCCTTTAAGGGTCTCACCATGTCACAGAGAACCAGAGGAGCCTGGCCATGGAAGCACTTGTAAGTTAGATTGACGTGTTTCATTTTGAGTTTAGCTTCCTGCCCTGGTGTTTACCTCCACTCTGATTATCTTAACTAGTTTCACCTGTGTCTTGTTGGTCTCATCTGTGTCCAATCACTCCTGGTCTATTTCGTGTCTGTGTGCTTCCCCTTCCTGCTCAGTTTGTCATATGTCAACCTCTCTGTCTTACTCTTGGATTTTTGTTATGTAACCAGTTTTTCCTCGGGGTATTTGTGTTTATTTTGTGTCTTTCCTTTTACTTGGACATTGTGGATGTTTGGACTTGGAAACTGAAGCTTTACTTTTTGTTTGGATGCAAGTGGGTCTTCACCCTTGTTTGTCTACCACTTTGACATAGAAGCCCTGAGAGGCAGACAAGAAGAAAAAAAATATCAGGTAATTCTCTTTTTGAGTCTCATTTTAATTGTTTTGTCTCGTGTTTTTAGGACCTAACAAGAGATGAAAAAAGAATCACCTGTCTGATCTTTTGAATCCTGAAAGAGTATACTGGCCAAATAGAGACAAAAATATCAACACTTCATTACAGACTTACAGTGATCCTTTATTTCTCAGAAATACGACAGGTCTAGAGTACTCTTTAATTACTTTAACTCAAACTCCTCATCCTCCCCGATAAAGCCCTCCATAACCTGGCTCCCCCCCTCTACCTGTCTGACCTCCTCCACCGGCACAATCCCACCCTCACTATCAGGTCTGCCGACACAAACCTCCTGTCCCCCCTCTGCAGGATCAACCCTGGGGGGGGGCCAGGGCCTTCTCCATTGCCACTCTGACCCTCTGGAACTCAGTCCCAAAAATCATCAGATTTGTCATCACTGTTTTGTTTTGTTGTTCTTTGTTAAGCATCTTTGACCACTCAGAAAAGCGCTATAAAAGTCTAATGCATTATTATTATTATTATTATTATTATTATTATTATTATTATTAACATCTGTCAAGGGGGTCACAGTAGAGAACACATGAACAGCAGGGCATCAAAGTTGAATATAAAAATGAAAAACATGAGGACATTTTTATTAGAACACAAAAAGACAACATAGAACAACAACATCTAGATAAAAAAACACAAGTAGATGAAACACATTACAACCACAGGATGGGCAGAGTGGAGGAGAAGAGTGTTACCAGATCACCAAATACAACCAGATGTAAATGGAAACAATGAGAGCATAGCAGGATGATTCTTAAATATACTTAATGATGAAACAGATCTAACATGAATGTAAAATGTTCCAGTCAACAGGAGCTTCAAGCCTATAAAGCCTGTGTTTAATTAACCTGAGGGACAAAATAGATCAATCTGACAAGAGTCCAGCAGGTGTGTAATGTAATATCATGCCCCTCTCTTTTTTACAGAGACCTTGGATAACACCTATTGGTCAAGTTGTTGATTGAATGGCGATTCAGCCAATCACAGCCGTTTGACCAACCCATCAGGCCAGTGTAGCGTTTACAGTTGGATCACGTTGAGGTTACGTGTGCCTGGTTAGAGCTCAGAGGTAAGAAAATCAGTGTTTGCATCCCTTTAAAAAGATGTTCAAGTCTCTTAAACTCATGCTTTCATGATTTATTTCACATCCGAAAACAAAATAACAGTCTCAGTTGTCTAAGGCAAATGTTACAAAATACTGTTAATAAGGAGAATAATAGAAATGCATACATTTGAATAGACACTGGATCAACTGAATTTATCTTCCTTGGCTAAGAGATTTTCATTTAAATGCACCATGTACGTTGTACAATGATGAGTTAGGAAAGGACAATCGAGGACAAATCTGTGGAGTCTAAGCTGTTTTAGGATAAACATGGTCTGTTTTAGATGTATTGAGTTGGGTACAGACTGAACAGTTTTTGGCTGTCCCAGGTGAAAGAGGATCAATCCTGACCATACCGGTGGTCGTGGCTCCAAAACAGTGGTGCTGCGTGATCAAAGATGACCGATGTCCCGGTCTATGGAGCAAAAGACGGCCTGCGACAAATATCTGACAGTGACAGAACGAACATCTCACATTGTGAATGCTTCTAAGATCTTCTGCCAACCAATTGAAATGCAACGTAAAACGACACTCTAATCAGCGCACCCACACAGGCGCCAGAGCTGTCCAAAGCGTATGCTAACAATAACAAGACTAATTTCAAGCTGTCCTTGCATCATTGGCATCCACTTTTCCCTAGCCAAGACCGTGTCCACATTTTTCTATTCCTTCTTTTCTTATTTTTTTCTATGCACATGAACGCCACTATGGCAAGAGGCCATGGCAACCAAGGTTGACGCACACTGATTAAGCTAATGACGCTGCGTGTTGACTAACCTCACAGTCTACGGTTCACTAAGTACCTCATCACATAGTGTACATGCATGTCGTAACCCACATTATCAGATGAGTGTCCCACAGTGTGGCTTGGAATACATTTATAAGATTACAAAAAGCCCACAGTCTGTTGGAGGCTTTACAAAACTATTTGACAAACAGTGTTGGATTATCAGTTTTAGAAAGTTCACACGCTTGTTGTTCTCTTCTGTGATTGTAAATGTTTGTGAGAGAGCGTTTTATATCTTTTTTGGAAAGTGTGTGTGCAGCCCAAAGCAAAAAATGCTGTTTAGTGAAACTGATTCAGTCAGCATAGTTGAAGCAGTGATAGAAACATAATTGTGATTTATTCACCTGCTGATTCACTGATTGGTTCTCTGTGATGACACATGCTGGGAGCTCCGCCTCCTGCGGTCATCTCTGGTCCGCTCCAACTCCTGGACCTGGACGCTGGCTCTTCGCTGCCGTCCAACCTTCCCTTCAGACCGTTTAGCAGAGTCCGGCTGCCCCCTCCTCCCCCTCTGCTCTGTGGGCTCACCCTGTGTGTCGTCCTCCCACTGCTGGGCCTCTGCTGCAGGGGACAGCAGAACCCTCGCACTATATGACCGGAAAAAGACAAGGACAAGGGATTACAGAACGTAGCAAATACAGTTTGCATCAGTCTTTACAAATCAAACAACACTACATCAAAACCCTTCATGATAATCTCACAGCTGGCTGAAATCACACCAACAAGTATAAAAAGTAGATTTTAATAGATAACTGCTCTAAGCTTCTTACAGCTGCGGTGCACATACAGATGAACACTACCTTGTGAGCAAATTAATAAGAGCTCTAACACGTTTAAGAATTGAGGGAGGAGATGAAGAGAAAATGTAACCAGGTTATTGTTGGAGCAGGTGGTGTCACACTCCAAACACGGACAGGAAGTTCACTTGTTATAAATAAAAATGGAACGTTAAAATAACATCAAACGAAATGAAATTGAAAGACCCTATAATGGTTTATAATCCAATAACTAAAAATCATAAATAACCTGACACAGTAAAGCATTGAATAAAATAACAAAACATGAAAATGTAATAAAACAAGAAAAAGAAAAACAACTTAAAATTACATTTTCCCCCAATTACAGCCTAAATCTGATTTATTGCTGGTCAGTGTGATGATTTTTTTATGGGATCAGATACCTTCATTTCTCATGCCTTCAGTAAAATGTATACGTTTTAGATTATTGCTCTGTATCAGGATCTGATTCAGGACAGGATAATTGGTTTCCAAACATCACAGGGACTACTAACTAAACTCTATAAAGGCCAAGCGACAACCTCCGGTGTTAAAAAATGAAGCCGATGCGGAAGTGCAAAGTCCTGCAGTCCGTCAAGTGTCAGCTTGAGGCTCCAGGAACACAGGAAGTCACATACACACCACAGGCATAAAAGCAGTTTTTACAGCATAAATAGACAAGTTTAAAGCCTGGTTCAAAAAACTAAATAGGTCTGATTAGGTATTGTCATCATGGGCACACACTGTACGGGGGTGTAGGTGTTTGTCAGGGGCTTAAAACCTGCCTCAGCTCCAGCTCTCAGCCTGTCGTTAGGTTGACTGAGAGTTAGACTGAGACAGGATTTCCAGCTTGGTGGCTGCTGCTGATGAACCTCCAGAGCCCCCTGCAGGAACAGATTGGTGACATCACTAAACTCAGACTTCTTCCTTTCATATTAACAGTCTGATAAAGACTTTATATTCCATGACACAGTCATTCTATAATGTCATGGCTGTTTGTTGGCCCATGTATATTTACATCATGGCACATCATGATTGTTTGCAACAGTGTGTCATCATTCAACAGACATCATGTAGTCACCTTGCAGACCCAGGAGCTCGGGGGCTGTGGAGGAACGCCCCATGTTTCCAGAGGTCCGGGGTCTTGCTGGAAGCAAAGAGAACTCTGTGCTGTCACGAAAGGGTTCAGACTGAGAGTTCCTCCTCGGCACGCTGTGGACCGACATCATGGTTTCATCTGCATCTCTCCTCTCATGCATCACACACACACACCATGTTTTTCTGCAAAGACACAATGTACACACTCAGCGTTCAGCCAGTTATACCTTCATGACTCACCATACATTCAGTGTAATGAGTCTGTTTGTATCTGAGAGTTTAGAGCCAATAAATTAACCTCTTTTATAGCCATGTCATGGATTATTACGTTTCAGATGATGACATCTTTAAAATGGGTGTTCCCCCTTGTGTTTTAGGATTTCAGTTTGGGATGAATGTATTACATAAAGAAAATCACATCAAAGTTTCTCTCCAGAATCTGCCTTGAATTTAATGTCACGGAGATGAAACATTCTTGAATAAAATGTGGCTCCATTGTTTGCATCCAGTAAGTGAAACCAGCGTTTACACTGGATTCAATATGTTCTTGTAATGTGTCAGGCACATGGTCTGGCCTGAGTATTCCTCAGTCTGCATGAAGACCTTCATGGTAAATCTGCAATCTGTAGCACTTTTACGAACAGAGATGGGTGACAGAGGATGAAAGGTAAATCAGTAAGGTGTCTATATTACCTTAATACTTCAGAGCAGCTTTGGTGCTGGTTGTCATTAGTTACCAACATCTCCATAGAAGGATGAGAGGCAACTGTGAAAGACAAATTAAAGGAGCCATATGTAACTCTGACACCCAGTGTTAAAAATGAGTACTGAAGTCCAGATTCTAAACATTGTAGAGAGCTGTTTCCCCCGCCCCCCCCCACTCCTCTCTAGAGTCAATGCTCACACAGGTCACCATGTGGTGAACACTGAAGCTTCAGTGTTTATCCAGCTCTGCATGGGTCTGTAAACCTTTCTGTGTTCTAACCTCTCTCCATTTTTCAAAAGCATCCTAGTTGATCCTAGTTTGAGCACGTTTCTGCTCGTGGAGCTTATTAGAAACATGCAGAGGCTTTTTAGGTCGGGTACAATCACTTCTATCTGAACCACTTCTCTTGCTGCTTCCATCGCTGAAACACCTGTTGGTTTGCTGTTTACCTGACAAACTGAGGGGCGTCTAAAACGGCCATGTGGGGGTGCCTTAAAACCGCCTCCCTTCTCTGGTCCAAACAAATCCAGAGCATTCAGGACCAGAATCTGAATTTAGGAGGACATACTGGCTGCTGCATTGTTGTCAGAGAAGACATCACTTCAACATAGCATGTTTCCTTAATGTCTGATCAGATAGTAAGGTCACTTTATGATTTAATTCTGTAGATATCTTAGATATTGGACCTTTAATCCTTTTTGCGGTGATGATGGTGGAGAGAGAGCAAAGTCAAAAGCAGCACTCTACAATTCTGTCTCAAATAATGAAACAGGTTTGTATCTGTGAAGATCATGGTGTTTATTATATTCAGGTAATTTTAATTGCAGGGACATTAAAGGAGGCGCTCTAAATTTCTTCAAACCAAATAATTCCCTTTGAAACACTTTTCCCCTTCTTTGCATTAAGGACTCTGACAAATTCTGCCATCTCTACCCAATGCAACTTGGTATTTTTGAATCAATACAGGTGGTATTTTTGCTCTCTAGTAGCTCTCAGTACAGTTTACGCTTTAGTGGTACGTTTACAGTATGTGGCTGTTTATCTGAGTTTCTGAATAGTGGATTGTTGTTTAAAAAAGGCTGTTAAATTGACTAAATGGTCCAAGAAAATTATTGCCACACCACATCATTCTGAAGGCAGCAAAACATTTTTTAATTGCAGCAGGTTTAGCAGGAGTCAACGAGGTCTTATGAACATGGACTGCTTGTGCAGACCGGAGGACATTTGCAATATGTAGCTGACAATGCGTTGTCTTCTGTGCATACCACAAGAACATCAAATTCATGTCTGGTTTTGGTTGTGAATCCGTGTTTGAAGTGGTTATTTTGAACATCTAAACAAACGCAGTTTCTCACAGGCATTCTGTAATAATTCATTCAATATGAACGTTTGTCTTAAAGTCTGTACATTTGCACAACAAAGAAAAGAAAAACATTTTACCCTTCATGGTGGCCCCGTGTGCTGAACAGGGTTCAGTTTAAAACACAGAAGTGGACAGACAAATCATGAACAAATGTAGAAAACATCTTCATTACTTTGACAACAAAAAACCTGCAGCAAATAAACGAACACAACCAAATACGACCTCACAGCCACAAACACAAACAGCAGCACACAACAGCTCTGGTTTTAAATGATGTTGTCTGTGTGGAGCAGATTTGATAAATGCTACTTTCAAATTAATGAAGATGTTCTCCATTTGTTTTGGTCTTTTAGTCTACACTCTAAGAAATTGCTGTAAATTTACGAGGAAATTTCAACAGTATGATCCTGTTATGTTTAAATACAGGACATTACTGTATTATAACGGTTTATAACAGTATTTTACTGTATCATTGCTTGAAGGAAACAAAACGGTAATTTACCATAGTTTTGCAATGCATTTTGGGAAAAAGAAGTTGAGACCATGTGGTTGAAAGGACAGTGGAGTTGGCTTTGCCAGATTGTCATCCATCTCCATCCTGACAATTAAGAGGTGAGTGCCTTCCTGCTTTGCTAGTTAGAATAAGCAAAAACCATCACTTACTATGTTTCAAGTCATTTGTGGGATTAATGTTAGCTAGATTTGGAAATTATACAGAAACAATGCAGGCAGACACAAACGCAGTGAGTGAATTCTTTGCCAGCTAACATTAGCTTGAAATACAGATCTTAACAGTTGCTAAATGGGACAAAAAACAAAGCATTTTCTTGTAATGTGGTTAACTAAGTGGCTGGGAAATAATGAACGTGACTATCTTGCCTGGTGGTACTAGAACGGTAGGTTAGCTAACATCAACAGTCACTTTTTCTTTGTTTCAGCTTCAACTGACACTGACTATTGATTAAATATTGAATTAGAAATGATGATTAGCTGGGCCTACTAGGAAATATGGCCATAGTATAAATAGTATAATATACAGTATTTGAAAATGTATAAAAGGAAACTTTAGTGAGACTGTCAGAATGGACCTGAAGCATGTTTTTTGTTTCTATTTTAACACATAAAGCTGCTGCCATACATCCTGAATTCCAGGACTTTTATTCATACTAGTTCTACTTCATACTTTTACTTTACTTCTTTATATATGGAGAATATTCAGAAAGGATTGTCCATATGATAATGTTCACTGTTCAGCTGGAGCTGCTTTTGTTCTAACGTTGCTTTTCCCCTTTACAGAATCCTTGTTATGTGGCAGTTTCAGTCTGGAAGGAGAAATAAGAGGGAGGTGCAGGTCCAAGGACCCAATTTCCCTAGGGATCTAATCTATAACAGAAATGTTTTCACTTCTCTGTTTAAAATGTATCTACCAAAACTCTTTATTGCACTTTTTATACATTGGAAATGGTCTTTGCTAAATGTCTAAATGTAAATATTTGTGCTAGATTTTTTGCCTATTTAACCTTCATGTTCTTAAAGTGTATTTTCTTTGTTTTTGTTACAGTTTCAATAAAGACAGATGTGGTTTGATAAGACACTTTGAATTTTTATTATTTGTCTTAACATTTTAAGTTGCAATTTTAAAGGCACTGTTTATTTATTATTTTAAAACGTGGTGTTTTATAACCTGACATGCAAGGAATCATTTATCAAATCACTAGGTTTAGAAAATAAATATATTGTGTCCATTTTGGTAGAAGGAAATTAATCTATAGCTAGGTGTAGTATTTACAATTCACAGTAAAAATCTGCAAATAAATTGTAAATAAACAGTATTAAACAGTTAATCCTTTCAACAGTATTTTCCTGTTGACATTTAAAATAACAGCTTTTTGCTGTATTTACAAAAACGGTAGAAAACTGTAAATTTCAGCAACAGCAATATACCGTTAATTTTACAGTAACTTCCTGGCAACCCTACTGCCAGTTGTTTACCGTTTTTTAAGAGGGGGAATTTCTAAGAGTGTATTTCTCTGTGTGTTTTCCTTAAATCAGTGCACTCAGCTCAAAAGGACAAAAGTCTTGAGATTGAAGCCTCTTTGTACATCCCCAACAAACAGAGTTTTGTTTATCCTTTCTTTGATCGATTGACTCATTTGGGAACCTCTCTGTGTAAAGTATGAAGCCTGATTTCTACTTCTTTGTCAAATCTACGCCCTATAGTGTAGCCCTGTACGTATTTTATCAGCTTTATCAGCTCTAAATACGCTCAGGCAGAGAATTTGGCAGAACTGAAAACTAGCAATATACAGTAAATACAGCATAGAAATTGTAGTATATGTAGTAATGTTTGTAGTATTGCACAGCAATGCAGACACACCAGCGCACAAGTTTGTAGTGCTCACAATGTAGTATGAATGGATTAGTGTTGTACTTAATCTCTGATGTATGTCGCTTTGGATAAAAGTGTCTGCTAAGTGAATTGAATTGTATATGTCATATAAAGGTCAGATGGGATATGATGAAAATATAAAACTAGAACGTCAAATACAATGTTCTCAAACATGGTGGCGGTCATTAAAGTTAACGTTTATCTTGTTGATTTATTTGAGAGTAGTGTAAATCTGTTATTTGATGCTATAAAACAGATTATAACTCTGTGATTGAAACACGCAGTGCTTATCGGTTTGGGGTTTTTAAGCTTAATTTTTGTACTAAGACATGCCGTCCATTTTCTATACACTCAATGGTCTAAAGAAAAGGCAGATGTTTCCTTCTTCTGAGACGATACTGTCCAACAGTTCTCACAACCATCACTTTTTACAAGCCCATTTTAACAGCCTGACACATTTAAAAGAAAAACTGAGGGCACACAGCTCTGGAACTGATTCAGGTCGTTACGTTTCAGCCGCTTGGACAAGCGAGGTTATCAACCGCAATTTAACAGAAAACATGTGTGTGTGGTTAGGGTTAGGGTTACAGTTCATTACACAGCCTTTCAGCAACTCTCCCACAGTGATTAAAGATCTGTCTCTGCTCTTACCTGCTCTCATTCACACTTTTAAATCTCTCAACAAAACTCCCAGAGGAGTCATTCACGCAGAGTTGAAGGAAATCCCCTTTTTGTAATGTTCCTCTAAGAATATGGATCCACACCCGAAAACACTGATTTTACTGCAGGTCCTCTCTGCTGTTGCTTTGGGAACAGTGAGCTAACTCTCTGGGTTTGTTTGTGGTTGGTAGGGGGTGTTGAGGTGGGGGTTGGGAGGGGGTATGGTATCATAGTTACAAGCCCTGGTTTGTATGACACAATGGCATTTTTGGTTGATATTTGAACAAGTCTCTGAGGAGTTGTATCCTGCTCTCCACAGTTCCAGCTAAAAACAGCTCGAAGAGTGAGTCTGTGTGGACTTGCACTCAGCATGAATGGTTTATCTGACCAAGTGCTGACAACGGCAGCGCCATTTTCAACTTTTTATCAGACATTATTCTCGATTAGAAGTACCTATATTATGAGTGGTGACTGACAGTGGTGTGAAGATGGTCTCCTGGTATCATAACAACAGACTACCGCCGCCTGCTGGCATGGAGACTTATTTCCTCTCGTGCAGAACGTATATGTGGCGTTTGGCCTTCGGCTGTAGTCTTTGCGGTTTGTTCTAGCGCACCTTTTTGGGCACGACGTGAGGCAATGTGAGGCATTGCCACTAGTTCTTAGGTGTCTGCTTGGTGTGTCAGGGCCTTAAGGAGGACTGCTCCAGATGTTCTCCTGACCTGGCTGTTCACACATGCTCCTCACAGAGGGAGACTATTCTGGTCAGACTGGAAGGGGGGTGGGGTCTCCCAAGGTAAGACGTGAAGTAAAAAAAGACGCGGAAGTAGCGGACAACGCCATAATGAGAATAGTTGCCTTCATATTAATGCTTTATGTAGTTCGATGGAATCACACTATCAACAAAAGAGAGGAAATCAACATACTTATGAACAGAAAACATAATGCTGCTGTTTAATTACCTGCACAAAGATCGCAGCGGTCGCATGAATACACTATATGCACCGTGCAGCAATCAAAGGAACTTGACTCCCCCCTCCCATTGGCTCGAGGTGAATTCTCTGGGTAATATCCTGTTGCATTCTCACCTCAGCTCACTCGGACCTGCTGCAGAAAAAACACTAGGGGTCTGGCAGGAGAAACTCCAGGTGAAGTTGAGTTAAAAATTCGGCTCTTTGCGTTCACACATACAGCTCCTCCTGGAAATATCAGGAGTTTTTCAGGAGTTGTCTGCAAGTGTGAAAGCCCTGTCTGGGTCTTTTAGTGGGAACTGTGTTGTTGGAGCAAGGCCACAGTAAATAAACACATTAAAATGCCTGTCAGTGCTCTGCCAATAGAGCTGTGGAACAAGTTGCTAAAGAGTGAAAATGAAATCCAAACCAACAGCAGTAAACTATCCTCAAATTATAGACCCCATGGTTAATAACGAGACGGACAATTAGAAGCAAGCCAGTGTTTGAGAAATGTGTCTGGAATAAAGTCTGGATGTTTTTTTTTCATCAGAGAAGATGTGGCATGACAGCAGTTGGGATCAATTTATTTAATGAATAGGTAGACATAACCATAATAATGATAACCTTTGACTAAATAAGCTAATTTATAATTAGTCAGCCCACTAGACGAGGATCATCCCCGTGCTGTTGTTGGCTGATGTTATTTCACGTGTTTTTTTGTTTGTTTATTTTTTTTCAATATTTTAGTTTTCTTCAAAACGAGCTTTCAGAAGAATAATGCCGAGGAAAATCACAAGATTAAGAGTGAAAATAATCAACAGAAAAGAAGAAATAAGATAACAAATCAAAGTAACAGAAGAGCTTCGTTGTGTGTGTGCTGTACTGTCTTCCGTTGCACATGAAATACCTCTTATTTGTAATCGCAGCAGGATGAACAAATGGAGGCACATTTAGTAATACGATTGGCAGGAAAGAGCGATGAGCAAATGGAGAATACAGGAGAGAAGATAGGGGAGAGATAAGGAGGGCTACTGAGCCAGAGTGTCGGCATCACATTTGTTTGCATAATAGTCTAAGAAGGGGTGCCAAGTTTTTATGAAATCTTTTCATTGAATCCTGAACCTTGCGTCTGACTTTGTTTTAGTTTGAGAACTGACTTGAGAACCCAGCGTGAGTGAGATGGAGACGTTGGTGTTTTCCAGTTAGGTAGAATATGCCTGCGGGCTAAAAATGTTGAGAATGCTCTTAAATCTGATTGATGCCTAAGATATCTCACTGTGTTGCTAGGGGCAACCCCAAAATTTGCGATGACAGGGTCTGGATCAACTTTCCTTTCACACATGTATGAGAGTGTGTTGAAAATGTCAGACCAGAATGTGTTTAATTCTGGGCATGTGCAAAACATGTGGCCTAAAGTAGCAGGGCCCTGATGGCATCTGATACCAGTCAAGTCTGAACCATGGAGCAGGGAATATCCGGGTCATTTTAGCTTTACAGTAATGAAGGTGGCTAAGGATCATACAAGCATTTTGTATCCAGTTCAGAAAATGATATAAGGCAGTCAGTGAACTAGCAAACAAAACCTTTTAAACGTGTAACAAAGTATGATCTCACAGGTGAACATTAATGAACAGATGAATGTGCTTCAGTGAGCTGCTGATGGTTTGTACTATTTGCTCCCTGGAGTAAGGCGTTTTGACATCATCTTTATTAACAACGTTTGAGCTTCACTCGATGTCAAAGGAAAATAACCGAGGTGTTAATGTGGTGAGTGATACTCATATCCAGGGGCGTGTCCTGACTTTTTTAACTCGAGTGGCCCACCTGGGGCAGTGGTGGCCTGACGTTTTTGGGCACATGGACGATAAATGTATTTAATTTTATTTTATCCCACTAATGATATTTAAGTAACATAATTTGACAACATATAAATATTCTAAGCTCGATACTTTAGGGAGTCATAAACAAAAACTTATGTTAAAAAGTCGTAGTTTTAAGTACTTAGGAGATAGCATGAAAATGATGTGTACACTGTGTAACTTGCAACGATACATTTATTGGCAATTAAATCCATTTCAAGTCAGAGAATGCGCACAAGTTTTTACTTGTGAATTTTTAATGGAAAGAGCAAAGTATTTATTTAAAACTAAAAGTACTACCATTAGCCTCTAGTCAGTTTCCTCATTAAGAATTCATGGTAGCGTCTGTCAGTACCTGTTTTTATCTAAATTAGTTATTTCTTTCCTTGTTTATGGATTGTGGGGCAGGGGTTGGGGTGGGGGTCATGTCAAGTTACCCTTTGTGTTGCTGTTTCTAGGATGTGTATTGCCTGTATGAACCTCTGTTGCAAACCAAATTGCCCCTCGGGTACAATAAGGATTTTCCAATCCAATCCAGTCTAATACTTCACCGTATGAAAAGTGTTATACAAATACAATTTGACTGATTAATTGTTGAAAAGAGCCAGAAAAGTTGAGTTGTACTTAAGTCCAACCTCTGATTAGGCAAATAGCCAATCATATATTTAGATTTTGGGGTGGCTGAGTAGATTTCAAGGGAGGTCCATGCCACTCCTTGCCACCCTCTGGACACACCCCTGCTCATATCTGAATTTTTGACATTATTAATCCACTATTCTATTTCTGATAACCTAATCTCCAGCGGAGCAGCAGGCTCCACAGTGGCTCCAGGTGTTGTCATCACATGTGTGAAGCAACTGCAAAGCCGCTGCAGTTTTAGAGTTTGTTTATTGACTGATCCACGTGGACTTTATTGTACTGTGCACAGTGACAAGAGGCTGTCTCATGAAGCCAGGCTGTTGTCAGCCGTGGGTAATAATTCAAAAGGTGAGAATCTTAAATAAAAGGTCATGCATGAGGAGTCAGATTAACATTACTCAGTGGATTTGGGGCTCCTCTGCGATGCTTTTATCACCACGTCATACTGATTTAACTTAAAAGGAGGACAGGTGCAGAAGGAATTCAAACAGTCTCCGGCGTGTCTGTCTTCACTTTCACCTTCACTTTTGGGACTGAGTCCAGGAGAGGAGGTTTTTTTTGTGGCTTTCAGGGGCTGTTGTCTGTTTTCATTTACCCACCATGTAGACCAGCAGCACAGAGCTCCCCGTCTGATGGTCTCCAGGTGAGATCTGATGCAGAACACAGAAGCTGAGCTGACAGGAAAGCCATCATCATCCCAGGGCTGAGGTCACATTTGGACATTTGTTAAACTACAGACGGTTGACTGAGCAGGAGACACATGTGCATCTACCACGGGAGCTGCTTTCGTTTTTTTTTCCATTTTTTTAAAATGGAATGAGAGCAGACACTCTGATTGGTTTGAATCAGCCAAAACGTACCTATGTATAACCAAGCGACTTAATCCAACCCCTTTGCACTCTGCACCTGGCTCTGCGCCCAGATTGTGCTCCATGTAAATACTGAGATATAGTTAGACACGCCCAACTTGCCACTTTACGCTGTCAGAATAGGGCTCTTTATTTATTATACAGTTCAGTTTTACATGGTGATATTTCTTCTTCCCACAGCTCCACTACTTGTAAGACCCTTATAACAATAAAATGATCAGTATTTACACACTGGTTTGTGGTCTTTATTAAACACTGCAGCCTCTTGGCCGTGATAGCTTGTCTTCAGCTTGTAAACTTTTTTTTAGGGCACTCGGCTTTGGAAGTTATTCAATGAGGATGTTTATGTTTCGCACATTAGAAAATCAGCCTTGTCGACACGGTCGTAATAGAAAGCATGTGTGCGTGCTCTCCACGGGCCTTTGGGGACAATGTTTCACATGACCTTTCACCACTGCTGCCACACAAATAAAGCTCTGCAGTACTTCTTACCTGCTCTTAACTTGTTCAGGCAGTTGGATGGTGTGCAGCTACACCGGAGGAACAGCAGAGATAAATGTCCTGCGTGAGGCAGGTCAGTAACAGGTTGAGGGATGAGAGGGTTTTCAAACCATCCATCTTTGGTACAACAATTTCATATAGTGATGTAAGAGCAATCTCTAATTGTCCCTGTGGGAAAAGACTGTTGCTACAGTAATAAGCTGTATCAAAATAAAGTTTCCCCTTATTCTTTTCTTTCCCTGTCAACCACACAAATCTTCCACATCCAGACCCAACCCCTTTGGAAGCCCCTTCTCATCACAATCTCTCTCTG